AAGGCTATTATTAATTATGCATATTTAGTCTAAAGAGAAAAAATTGTATTATCTTCTGGTTTTCAGGAAATGATAAAATATATAAATTTTAGATAAATGCAAGGAATACAAAATTTTAAAAAAGGAGAAAAATATATTAATTATTAAGCTTATTTTTCTGCATAAATCAATAATGTAACACAAGAACATAATAACGACATTTTTACAACTGTTGCAAAAATGTGGAATTTTGAGAACATTTAGGCGTCTTTAAGACGTCGTGATACGGTGCTTTCACAACCAAAATATCACCTGCGAAAAACGCAATAACGACGTCTATGCGACAAAAATCTTATCTGCAAAGATGTAATAAAGACGTCCTTGCAACGGTTGCAAAACGGTTGATGTTCGCGGACATCTGGACGTCTTAAAGACGACATATTGCAATGTTTTTGCAACGATATCTGCGACGAGTTTACAATGTCATTACGACGTTGCTGTGCTACTTGGGAAGTTGGCTCAGAACTTCTCCTTGGCATAACAATCTAAATGGCGACAGCTGTAAAGCAAACCCGAATAATTAGAATATTATCAGAACAGGCATTGCTAAGTAACGTGGCTTCGAGAGGTAGAAACATGCTCTCTGTCCTACAAACCAAAAACCTCAGCTTAAATACTATCTAACTCATTTATATTTCTGGTGAAGAAGCGGAATCTAAGCTTAAAGGCTTAGATTATAAATAACTGGTTAATTTAAATAATAATACTTACGCATTCTTTGCCTGGTATCAAATTATAGCAGGTGAATTTCTAGATGATTCATCTTTGAGCCAGTGCTCTTAAAATGTTTGAGCTCCTTTGCTAATCTATGCTGCGACAATGTTTCACACAATAGTTTAGTTAATGAAAAATGCAGTTACATATATGAAATTGTAAACTTTCATTCTGAATATCTACTTATAATATTTAATCATCGGAAGTTTTCCTGAAATGTAAATAAGCACAGTTACATTTCGTTTGCTATTAGCAACCTCACACAACACATTATATTTTAGTCTCTTCATAAATGGCGCATCCCAAGCCAATATTTTATACGCGTATTTCTAAGACACACAAGCAAATTTTAATTACTTATATACATTACTCATAATTTATTGAAAATGATTTGTGAGGTTATACATTAAGGGTGTTAGATTAATTACTTTTAAAATACTTAGCTTAGTTAGAAACTTTTATACGAATAATAGGGAAACCTCATTTAAAACTGATTGTATGTTAAAATTTAGATTGATATTTTTCGTATATAAATATAAAACGCTGATATCAATTTATACAAATTTGGGTTGAGAAATACTCGAACTGAGAAATGTACATTTTAGAGAAGTAAATTTTACTAAATGCAATTTTTTCAGAACAACCTATCAATATAAATTTTTCTTTCCAAAATTTTAGTGTTAGAAACCGAATGAGTGAAAAATACTGAGAACACCATATTTTACTCCACTGGTGACAGGAGTTTGTTATGTAGAATTTCACGTGGTTTTCATTCACGCATAAATACGTGCAAAATGAAACAGCTTCTTTTCGAAGAAATTTCATTCAAGGCATATTATAAAGAACAAATAATTAACATCTTCTAGATAATTCATTTTGAGTCACTGGATGCGGTGTTTACGCTTTCTGTGTCTAGTCAGGAGTAAGTTAGGTTAACTACGTTTTAATTCAACTACTTTCAATCTTTAAAACTTAATTTATTGATAACTGAGTTAGATTAACTACATTTTAATTAAAATCTTTTCCGTGTGAAATATGAATAAATTAAGTTTTTCATATTTCACACGGAAAATGAATAACTTAAGTTATTAGTAACAAAATGAATAACTCAAGTTATTCATATTTAAAGACAAGTAAGACCATTTTGCAGGCGCATACATAGAGAAAATTACATCATATTTCATGTCTGGCAATTCATTCCTTCATGCTTAGTTATCTAATATATTCATTTCCCTTGCTGTCATATGTGGAATAATAAGTACTTAAAAAATGTGGGTTTGAAGTTATCTTCAAAGATTCATATTTTACCTTCTTGATGTGTTATAAAGATTAAAAAAATGGTATGTACTTTCATCACCAGATGTGATTGTAGAAATAATGCGGTGTCTACAATCATTAAGTAATTTTAGGGTTTCTTGGTTTCTTTACTAAATATAACACGCTTCGGTTTTCGTGTTCTAGTATTTATGGAGGATGTAACAACAAATTATTTTTTATATGCAGTTGTTAATGAATAATTTTATGTACAGCTGCGGATATAGTGTTACGTTCCATCTGTATCATTTGGTTGGTACAAAGATTATAAGTTATTAACATTTTTCTTACGGCTAACACAGTTTCTAGGACTGTGGCTGGCAAAGCCTTTCCTGCATGTTCTTGCGAATTTTGACCTATTTGAAATTCTGAAAACAGTTTCAATATATAGTGGCAGCAAATGGAGTTTGATTTCCATGTGATAATTGCAGACGTTGTATTCTGTATTGAACACTGGTATTTCGGTCCGAGGTTCGAATCCCGCGAACGGGCTGCATGGGTGCTTTCGTGGTTTTTCCCCATGTGTAACGTGTATACGAGCCAGTTTCCCTTAGAAACTCCTCCACGAAGGCATCTCTCTCCTTAGGCAGATAGCTCTCGAGGCATTGCTGTAATTAAATAACCTTAAAATTATAAAAATATCATACAGCGCATCAGTTTTATTTTGGTTTCTTTCAAAATTTATTCAAAGATAGATAAATTACAATTCTTGCCATAAATTATGGTCTGCGGATATGAAAGAACTCAATTTAACACATTTAACAAATTATATTCTTTCAGTGTATATTGTCAGCCCTCGTCTAAAAAAAATTGAGTTACTTACGTACTTACGTACTACCTGGCATGTTGGCGCTGAATACACCAGTCATGTATCTGAAATGTTTTGTATATGGGGCGATTAAAAAGGAAATTTTATTTTATTGCCTTCCATATTATATTATCCTATATTTCTTCGTGGTGTAACTGGTAGCACACTCGACGTGTATTTGAGGGGTCGAGTCCCGGCGAGGGCACTGCACATTTTTCACGTTCCTGAATCGATATAACCGAATGACTCTACATTTTTTATATAAGATATTCAATGCACTCAAATTTGTTTTCTATCAATCTTAGAATAATCTTAGAATTTGGGTTTATTTAGTAAATTGAAAATACAACGAATTGATTGCCAAACTATTTTGGACTTCTTTGGGAAGGATCTCTAATCTTTGAGTCGTCGAGAAAACATGTGTGCAAAACAGTTAATTTTTGTTGAATTATAATAAATCATTTTCCGTATTACATAATATGTATTGCTAATGAATTTCATACAACAAATATTTTCTGCCCAGAAATTCACTGTTTTGAAGCACCATGTTGTTTCACCGATTTTTCTGATCTGATATTTCGTCTGATTGTGAAATAAATTAGTGTTTCTGATTTCTATTCGATTATTAAAAAAGGGTTTTATTTTCGGTTAAAAACTGAATTTTCGAGTTCCATTATCCGCTTCAAGCAATAACTCTTTGAAAAGGTTAATGCATGAAAAAATTTATCATTAAAAAAATGTATTTCACATTAAAAAAATGTATTTCACCATAAATTTTAAATGCTCATAGTAAAATAAGCCTGTATAATTAAGAAAATTCTAATTAGTTACAAGTTTAAATTAGTGAAAATTTTTATTGGGCATAATACAAGAAGTTATTTGCCTAAAAGTATCTTCCTAAGCACATGTTTTGGAACAAAATATGAGACAGAGAAAACATATATTATTTGAAATTCTTGGTTCCTCAAACAACGTTTCTGTGATATTTGATTCTTTACTTTTGTTATGAATGAATTAGTATCGTTGTTTAATCTATTACGCAAAAGTACAAGACAAACAATCTGCGTATTGGAAGGGAAGCCTTCGTGGAGAGCTTTCTAAATTTACTGATACGATTTCACGCGACACACGAGGCAGTAAAATGAGTCCAAACAAATACAAAAAATACAGTTATGCAAACAGATACAGATGACCTAATATTACTTTATTATAGTTTAAATTAAGAAATAAAATTTTGGACACATATTTTATTGATTTTTTGTTTTGTTTTTGTTTTAATTAGGAAAAGTGTTTTATGTTTGCTTAGAAAATCATCACGAAGAAGTTTTATAAAGTCAGCACTCTCAACATAAATTTGTTTCTGTTACTCAAATAAAAAGACTCCTAAATTTAACAAGCATTAAGATTCCTTTTTATGCATGAATTTAGCATAAGTTCCTGTGCATCAAAAGAAAGGTTGTAAGCACGTAACGCATCTTAGATGGGAGGGGGCAAGGCACAAGAGAAAGATAAATTTTAAAACTTTAATTAAAAAGTAACATAATATTACCTAATCAAAATGTTCACAATAATATTCAGCTAATTATTTTATTTAATAAAATAATATATATATTAATAATTATAATCAATCAAACCTTATATTAAAATCTGTAAGTGTACTGAATACGTTTAATACCCCTGGTAAAAGAATCTCAGCAATTTGCTTAAGATACGATTTCCTAGCGTGACGCTGCTATATAAACCATGTTTTAAAAGTAATTTGAATTTCCTTTCTGAATATTTTCCCCTGTGAGGATACAGAGACTTTTAAGTGCGCAATAATTTTTAAATTGAGTTAGAGAAATATGATTATATACTTTTTTTTCTATAAATTACGATGGGCTTCAGTTAACAGGCCTGTTCTCATCTGCATCTCTTCTGGAATTTGAAGCTCGAAATCCGCATTCCCGAAGGAGTAAACATTACGTATTCGTCACGTTGGAATGTCAGTGGATGGAAATTCTCTCGGCTCGTAAGCGGATGTAGGGGAGCTCATTCACAGAACGATGTACCTAAGAATTTACCGCTGCCCCGTTCAATGGCATGAAAGTGTGGAAGAGAAATAATCTACGCAACGGAAGGCAATGGATAAGTGTAGCGGATTGCTGCGCGTGCGTGGCTTCGGGATGCTAGAAGAAGTAGGGAGGACGGCGCAGACTGAGAAGCCGAGATGGGGAGTTGCGTGGACGTGCTTCGCGTTGCGCTCTTCTTTGTCAACTTAGGATTACACCATTCCCTACCCGAAGTCGTAAGAATAGGTGAGAGGAATTTCATCAATGTGTCTCTCAAAAAAATTTTTATTTGAAGAGAAATTACTTGCTTGTATTTTTGCAGGAGGGCTCTTCGAGGACTTCGACGACGACCGTGAGATGGCGTTCCGGTACGCTGTAGATCGGATCAACGCGGATGATACTGTGCTGCCGAACTCTAGACTAGCAGCCAAAATCGAGAGACTAAAGCCACAGAGCAGCTTCCATGCAGCCAAATCAGGTATTTTCTAGAGATTTCTGTCACATATGTAACTACGATTTTCCCTCTTAGACATTTTCTCAAAATTACTAATAATACCTGAGAAGAACATAACTCAAAAACAGTCAAAATACAAAAATTAAAAAAAAAAAAAATAGAATAAATCATCTAATGTTATACCGCATGCTTCATTTTAAGGGATCATCTTTGGTCTATGTTTGGTAATATTTACCAAGAATTCCTTGAAAATATCACATTTTGAGTAAACTATATGTACCTTAAAGTATGCGAAATGAAAGTGAAATAGCCCTATTTAGACTATATTATGAACTTTAAATCTTTTCAGCAACAGTTTTCTTTCCAAAATCGACTTTTAAATGTAATTTTTAGATTTTTAATGAATTAAATTAAGTGAAAAAATACGAAAATGTAGTTAAGAAGATTTTTGTGTGCTATATGCATATGTAAATATTGAGAAACTACGCAGTGCTTAACAGTAGTTCCTTTGAGGGGTGTATTAGCACCGTCACTGAGACTAGAAATATCTCGATTAAAAAAATAGCTTAATAATATAAATGAGTCAAAGAAAGCATATATAAAAATCCATATAACCTGGTTATAAAGTTTCAAAATTTTGAACTCAATCATAATATGATTTCGCACCTTGACAAATACAAAAAGTAACCAAGCATTAAATTTGTAAGCATATATTTAGATGTGAGCTAAAAAATATTTACGTTGAAAAAAACACCATGAAATACGGATTTTCTGTATTATACGTTCAGTTATAGTTCAGCGAGGTTAGTTCTTAGTAGAGAAACATAGAAACAAATATCACTTAGCTTAAAGCTATTAAGACATGATGCCAACTCAACAACGCCAATATAATGCATTTTTCGAGTAGTAAATTCTCCTAAATTAAAATTTTTAGACAGCTTAAAAATAAATATTGACTTAAAAATAAATTTAGCCATTGATCAAAACGATATATAAAATAATAAAGTTAAGTCAAAAAAAGTAAATTAATATCTGCTTTGAAACAGGTAAAAGCAACTGCTTGCTTTTCGAAGGAGATGTAAAAAGTAAAAATATTATATGTGTAAAGTAAATATATTTTTTGTGTCAGCTTGGAACTGAAGTAGAATTTTGAAGGGAAAAGAGTCATTTAATCCTTTAGTTAATGCAAAAGTTTTACTTATATTTCGAGATTTTTAACAGCAACAAATTATTTAAAAGTTATTTAGAAGTTATACGCAAACAACAGATTAAAGGCTTCGTGTTTTATTATATATAAATATTTTAAAATGAAAAAAACCTATCGTTGAATGAATGCTTTGAGCAACATGAAAATTTATTCAGAAACTATGAATGATAGTTTTGTAGTTATTTATCATCGTCAAAATGAACTTCTATCTAAGAAGTCAAATACATTTCTGTCACAGGAAGTTGTGAGTTGATAAATGAGGAGAAAACGTTGGGATAGGCACACGCATTTTAAACTTTATCTAAAAATTAAATGAAAAACTCTACTGATGTCTTATAAAGTGATCCGAGTTTTCAGATTCAACTGGAGGATAGATAGTATTGTCTTCGAACTGCAGGTTTAGAATCGCTGGTGTGCAACATCGATCGGTGGGGCAAGATGGCGGAGAAGAAATCATCCCGCAACACCACGAATAAATAAAGAATGCGACAATGATTATATCTCAAGTCAGGGTGGAAAGCGACCAAAATAGAACACACATGCACAATGTTTACATAGTAGGTGGAGGCTTTCCCAGCTTAGCTATTTCGGTCGTTCCCCTCTAATTTCTGTTGCTCTGAAGGAAAAAATGGAATTATGTATTGCAGTTTGCACTTTGGTCGGAGAAGGAGTGGTGGCGATCTTCGGGCCCGACTCGGCAGCTTCCAGTGCCTTGGTGCGCTCTACTGCATCCGCCCTTCATCTTCCACATCTGGAGTCACACTTGGACTTAGAGCGTGGTGCTCGTGCTCCTTTCACCGTTTCATTGTTTCCTCGCAACTTGGGTACAGCAATTTATCAGCTCGTGAAAAAGAAAAGCTGGAAATCTTTCACTATCATCTATGAAGATCCTGAAGGTAGGAATTTTACCTTGAAATTTTAAAACTCAATGAAAACTATCTTTTAATAATGAAATCAGTTTTTTTCCTTTTAATTTCTAGCTTGTAATTGGTACAAAATTTACACATAGAAGAATTGTAAACATTAATAAATGTTTAATCAAATGTACTCAATCCTTTTAGAATCCAATTGCTTAGATGCTCCTAACGAAAAGCGTTTTAAAATTTAACACATTTACCGCCAATGAGTAAAATGTGTGCAGTTATAACTGCAAAATGTAGAGTCTCTTTAGAAATGATGTAAACACATAATGACCAAAATGCGTCAAGAAATTAAATATTTTTATTTTCTGAAATTTTAAAAGTAATAATATTGAGATATATACTGTGGTAAGTCTAAATATGAAACATAATATATGACTGCCATTCACAGTAATCGTTGACGTATAAATATAAGTGTTAATAAAATACTGAAATGCTTAGTGGGTATCAAAATGTCAAAGTACACTAAGCTATCAAAGAACATAACGATCTTTTGTCACATAAAGATTTTCTCTGATGTACTTCTTTCTGTAAGAATATGAAAAACGTGAGGGTAAGCATAACTGTATAAAGTGAACGAAAGAATTGGTGCTACGAAAGAAAAGAGTTACGCAATACATGGTGTTAAAAATATTTTCATAAATTATACTAAATGTGAATTAGTTCATAAACTTATTAATTACATAGTTAAAATTTTATCAGTTATGTTAGACAGAATACCATTTTGCTATATATAATTACCAAAACAGCTGTAAATATACCTTTTTTTGGCTACACATTATAAAATGAATCTGCAGTCAGTCAAGCACATTAATAAAAAATAAAATTAAGTTATAAACTATCAAGAAGTACGTATATCGCTTTTAAGTCATTCAGTGATCGAATGATATATTCTTTTAGACTGTAACGTGAATTAAACATCATACGCCACATTATAACTCAGAGACGACTGCAACACTTGTGACAAGTGGCAGTTTGTCAGGGTTCGTTAATATTTAGTTTGTAGGGGTTAAGTTTGTAAGGGTCGTAATTTAAAGATGTACGTGTAACAGCATTTCCGCCTAGAATAAGCAGTCTGGTAGACATCATGTATCATTATTGCCATGACAGTGTAACATAATGTGAAGTAACGCGAAAAATATAGCGTGTAGACTCAGCAGCTACGATGTTTCTTATGCACATAAAAAGAAAGTCGCAGTAACCTTACACAGCTGCTAATTCGTATATTCTTAGAACAACCCATGAAAGCAATTTCCATGACCATTGTGGTTTCCTTAATTTAGTGTTTACACATAATAACTTAGTATAAATAATAGATTAATTTGTGTATAATAATATTTTACCTATATAATATAAACTAAGAACTGAAATTGTAGATACAAATGAAGCAGATTATGTAGACATCTTTAGATCACTGTCAAATTAACGTTTTATTTTTTTGTTTTTGAAGGCAATGTGATATTTTTGTCTTACTGGTATATAAGCTAGTTATCATAATCCTTTCATACACTTTCATCGGCTGAAATTTAGTGTAAATTGAAAATTGAGTGGTAAAATCGCAATTTTGAAGAAAACTTCCTTCATAATATGTATATATATATCACGTATCTGTCAAAATGATTAATTTTATTAAGAGATTTCCTTCCTAAACAGAAATTTTGGACGCCTATTACTTATTCCGCCCTTAATCACTGATTTACAAAATAGGTAACAGTTTCGGTAAATTATGATTGTAGGTTAAAAATGTTGTTGTATTGTTGTAAAGTAAACGTAAAATGACTTTCGGCGAATGAAAAAGCAAAATTATAAAAATGTTAAGATTTTTACAGGTATAATTGCTTCACGCATTGTATTTTTCACGAAATACTATCTTTCATTATACGTGAATTACGAACGAACTAACAGCTTCTAAAAGTATAAATTCTCGAAATGCTAGTCGCGGAATTATTGCAATTTTTTAAGCTTTGTATGCGGCTGACAGGGAAGTATTCAAACATTTTAAGCCATGGTAACATTTTCAATAATACTGACTGCATAGAATTTTTGAATCAAATGCATTCCTAACATTCAACTCCTCAGCTTTCTTTAACTAAAATTCAATTTCTCCAAACTGGATTCTTAATTATTAACTTGAATCCTTCGTTTTTCTTTTGTTATCTTAATGTTTAAAATGCTATTTTAAAAGTTCTGTAAGTAAGAATTTAGAAATAAAAAATAATTTTTTTTTTTAAATTTGAACAATGACATTTTAAAGAGTTTTCACTTCTTTCTGTTTAAAATATTCTTCATTGTTTTACTCTATTTAACTAAAATGAGTATTGTTTAAAGGCAATAAATCGTGCGTATATTAATTTTTGAAACCACGTGAAAGATTACTTAGATATCTGAAGAGCATATCTTTATATTAAGAATAATTGTTTTTTCGTTTAAGTTTTTTTATTATTTATTACTTAATGATTTGAGTTATTTCTATAGATTGGGCATAATCTTCACTGCTATAAATAAACTATGCTCTATATATGGTTGTCTTCATTTGTTATAATATAACAGAATTTTATTTATAACTAACTTTAAGTAAACTGTACGATATTTAAATGATAAACCTTCAAAAATATTTTTTACTAATACGGAATTTCAAACTTTGTCATATGTTATTTGAGGAACAATTACTTCATTCGATTAATTATTAATTTGAAGAATGAGAAATGAAAAAAACATTATCTGTTATTAAATTATTAAAATCCTTTAAAGTAGTGTTTAAAGTTTTATTCAATTATGAGGTCAGTGAAAGTGTTTTTTATCTTGGTCTGTTTCTCAATACACTTATCAAAACCTCACATTATTCCAAAAAATAATATTTAGTAAATAAATAAAATTATTAAAAATTCTGTTAAAAAATTCAAGAGCTCAAAATATTTTTCTAATTTTACTTATCAATTTTAGTTTATTAATGTGAACCAGTATATGTCTGCTATAAAACATATCATCAGTACATCCTTCTTCTCATTTCCATGAATTACTACATCATTTCCAAACTTACTTGTTGCAACTAGCAGAAAGTACTTTTACCTACCTCTTTAAGATAAAATGATGCATTCATGTATGATGAAAAAACCCTCACCGTATCATATTCATTTTATTTGAAATCAAATCTTTCTTTCCTTCTTTTTTTAAAATTTCTTATTTGGTTTCTTGTCTATCATTATTGCGACATACGCGCACTTATATTTGTGAAATTTCATCTGAATCAATCTTCCGTCCTAAATCTTGAACTAAGGTACTGTTCCTCGAATTATGCAAAGACTTCCTGATTAATTTCAAAATAACTGAGTGCTACTAAAATTTTAATTAAAAATCTTGATAACCTGACCCTGATTTTATTATATTTGTTATTCTAAATAGCTTTAATCTAATAAACATAATGCAATGTTAGCTTCCTTTTTTCAGTATAAATTTTACGAGCTGAATCATAAAGTTTGCAAAACTTATATTCTCTTGGAGGAGGGGAGCAGTCTGAGAGCTTTAGATTACATCTATTAGAAGACTCTAGGATTGCCATTAAGTTTTTTATTTGGAAAAATGTAAAAAATTTAAAAGTTCATGAAATTATTTAAACCATATCGACGTTCGTTTCTGCATCTCGTTTTTGAACGTGAAATAGTAGAATAAAGAGATTAATATCAAAATATTACAAAAAGAATATTAATATTTGCATAAAATTAAAAAAATTAGTATATATATATATATATATATATACATATATAATTGCAGTTAATATTACTGCAGAATTTGTTCGTCGTTTTAGATGCAGACGATAGTATACAGAGCCGTTAATATTAAAATCTTTTTATTTATCACATTTTTTGGCAAAAAATAGCACTTGCTACAAAACATTATTAACATGCGCGGATAAAATTATGAGATATTTTATGTTACTTAAACCGTTTATTTAGTTAACTTTTACTTTTCGTAACCCTCACCAGGATGCAAATGATTTACGTATATTTAAGGTGGCGGTTTGAATGTTTTAGAGATCAACAGCGTTGCCAGCATTACTTTCTCTGACTTCGCCTAGCTCTGACAGTTAGTAGTTAGTATATTGGCATTAGCCATTTAATAGCCAATGTTAAATCGCGCCATTTAAGTCTGAGCCAGCTTAGTTAGACCAAATTGTGTAGACTTTGTGTAGGCTAAGAATACATTTTGAAATGTATTATCAATTTTCTGTTTAATATCCGAAAGTAGTGGAGTTTGATTGTACCTACAAGTTGTTCTTTTTCTTAAGTTCAGGTTTAATGAAAAAAAGCTTATTTAAAACCTTCATAGCACTTTGTCGTATTTACGCAAACGGAGCAATAACTTTCTCTGAAATATAAGGGTCTGAAGGATATTCTAGTTAGTTTTATGCTTCTTAAACTCTATATAATGATTTTTATGTGATCCACTTTGTTACATTAATGAGAAAAGCACTTTTATAAGTTCTTATGCATCGTCGATTGGCAACAGGGTGTTGTGATTCATACCTTAATTTGCAACGGAACAGGATTTTATCACTAAAAGAAAACTTTAAAAAATTAGTAAATATACACATACACCAAAATCACGTATTTTTTATTACCGCTAGTTATCTCTGGAGATCCTTCGATAATTTACTTCATTAGAAAGGCATTTTGATGATAGTGTGGCTTGCATTGAAAAACTCCACACTGTAAAAAAAAATCTGTAAGGTTACTAAGAAAACTCATGGAAACTGGGATGCCATGGGTTAGTTGAGTAACCGTAAATAGGTGTATTCTTTGTAACTTTACATGAATTTTGCCTGTAATAGTTACATATCTTTTTCTTCTAATATCACAGCATATAGTTATGTAAGTAGAACATATTTTTCTCATGTAAAATCCCAAATAATATATCTGTAATGGTTACAGATTATTTGCGTGTAATATTGCCGCAAAATTATTGTAAAAAACTGTTTTTCTCATGTAAATCCCAACAGATATATCTGTAACCGTTCAGTTGTTTGCGTGTTGCTTGTGTTAATCCATTATCGTGTTGTTGAAGGCTTTCCTCTATAAACTTTCTAATTCCCGGTTATATCTGTTGTATCTGTTCTATCTTTAGGTTTCAGATTCTTCCTTTTATCCAGTTAAGTAATTATGTGTGTAGAATATATTTTTCATAAATGAAACACTAAAGGATATGTCTATAAAAGTAATAATTCTTTTTGTCTAAAATGATGCTTATATACCTAATTATGAAATATGTTTGAGTGAGTAAAAAAATGATATCTGTATGGTGTATATATATATAAAGATATCATATTACAGATATATGCAAGTGAAGCATAATAGTTTGTTTTTTTCAGGCCAATTTGACCTCAGAATAGCAATAATTTAAAAGATGTGCTTTCAACAGCATTTAGTGTTCTTTTTTCAAAAAAGTAACATTATTCGGTTGCAGAGTATTTTTGTTTTATGAAGAGAAACTTATGTCTGATATTATTGAAAGACCTTTCATATTATCATTTTGATTAATTTAAAGGTTCAAATTGATATGCTACTCCTTACATTAAATCACTTGTATATCCTTTACATAAAATAATGGAAGGCATCTGGAATTTATATTTGCCTTGTAAAATAGCTGAAAAAAACATTATGTTTTATTTGCATGTTTTAGTGTCAATTAATAAGATATGTTCTAGAATTTTCTTTTTAGTAATTTTAGCTAAAATAGACACATGTTGCTTAGATTTAACTGAGTAAACGTGTTGCATGTTCATATGATCATATTATTACAGTAAAAGACAGTTTGTGAAATATTTCTATGAAGAACTCAGAACAGCTGTTCTTCATGTTTCAAAAATATTATATTCTCTTCTTCTAAAAAATGACATTTTCAGTAAATTAAAGAATTTAACATAGCAATGAATTTCATTTTGTTACTACAAGGATTTCAAAATTGTGTTCATACGCTTGAATTACAACGTCCAACTAATCTTTTTATTCTTATCTGCACTCAGTGTTTGTCAACAGTCTACTATTGTTTGAAATAATAGATGATAACTGCATAACGTTTTTACCTTACCTTCAAATAATTTCCTTTGAATTAACAGATAGAAGTCTTTCATTAAAACCCTAATATCATGCTTTTTGAATAAGCATAACACTTCACCAACTGACCTTAATTTTTAAAGTCTTGCTTCGATTAAAATTCTTGATGCTTAATACAATTATGCCTTTAACAAATTTGTTTCAAAAATTAATACTTCAGTTTAGCTTAAAATTTAATGAATTTTAATTTTACCTATAATTTTTTACAAACATGATATGTAATAAACCTAAGCTTAATATTTACCATTTAGAAAGTAATACTAAAAAGTATTCCTAGTTATTATAAATTTCGAGATTTGCATACAAAATTGTGAAATATACAAATGTGTGACAACAGAAAAACAAACTTTGCTCTCTCTCTAAATATATATTACAGCATGTTAATTAAGAAGTTTATGATTTATAATTTTATGTGAAACATTATGAAGCAAATAATATGCTAATTAAAAATACAGAAGTAAAAATAATTTATTACTTAATTCATAAACTTGAAAAAAGTAAACTTAAAAGAAAATTAATTAAAAAATAACAATATAACATTTCATAAAAATTCGTTTCGACTGCTTGGAAAAAATGAATGGTTTTTCCCCCTCTTTGTAAATCCATGTCTCCTAAATAAAGAAAAAAAACATTTCTTTTAAAATCATAATCATGCTCTTAAAAAACTTATAAAAAATTATTTTAATAGATGTTTTAAAAATGTGCTTATCTAAACACTTTTAATCATATTCTTTATAATATCTGAAGTAATTAGGAACAGCTTAAATACTTTAAAAATTGGATTACAGTGAACCGTCTCATTACGACAAAGCTACCTCAGTCAATCACTTTTTTTAACCAGCATTCCTCATAAAATAACTAATAGTAAACATAACTTCTCTAAGATGCCCCACTATCATTGAAAGTCATCAAAATCTTCAGGAATCACGCATAGCTAGCTTAGAGAAGGGTTTCATTGTACAAAAACAGGCAATATGCAAATCTTTTCATAAATGAAGCCACCATAGTTATTAAATATAATATATATACAGTATATTATATTCAGAATGCAGAACTTGAATAAATTTCTCGAACTGTTTTAGCATTCGAAAAATATTATATTATTACCTTAAATTTCTAAAACAATATTACATATTGGTCCAAATGAATCACTGGGACTCGGACAACAATTTCCCCCTAGCTTTTCTTTTAGCAACAGGATTCTGAAATTGTTTTAATGATTTAGGTAATGTTTGTCTTCTTAAGGCACTCACAAAACAAGTTACCCTAAATTTTTCGTCCGCGTAGTGGTCGTTTTCATCTTACTAACTGATTTGCTAGTGGATTTTGGGTGCACGGTCTATTATTGATGAAACAATAATAGCGAACAGCTTCAAGAAAATGGGGATATCTAATGCTCTTGTGCCATATTTCCACTTATTTTTACTAATTTTATCTTCCGAAAATTGAAAGGGAAAAATTAAATGAATAATTTAATTTCCAAAGGTCACAGTCACAGTAGGAATATAACAAATGAAAAGTAATCATGGATAAACTACTAGTAACTCTCACATACATTATTTCTTTAAAAGAAACCTACTATTTGAATAAGAATACACATAAGTTGCAACATCTAACAAGTTATCTGATAAGTTATCTTTCTACTTCTTTATAATTTGAATTATTCTCATTCTCATTGTTGTGACTTTGCAACTCCTTTCGGCCTCAGATCATACCATAAATAATTAGAGAAGATGAATATGCAGCTGACATGGCAAAATTATACAAGTGAATGGCAGTTGGTATTTAGTTTCACTATCAATAGATCATTTTTTGTATTAGGCCTGACATAAAATTCAACAGTAGAAGAGAAAGATTCAACGGGGCCTTTAGTGTGCAAAAAAAATTTTGCCTTTGTTAGTATGACGAAAAACAATCATTATGTCCGATAAATCCATTTTAAAATCTTGGGATGTTCATTTTCTGAATGCATTAAAAAGGGGAAAATTATGCAAATATTTTTTTTTAATTTTCAGAATCTGGTTTTAAAGCTGGGTGGTGGGGTGGAATATGCAACGGCAATACGGTAATTCTGAAGATCATTGCTTGTACGGTAGTACAAACTGAAGTGGTGACGGTGATAACTTGCATGCTGTAGAAGACGACACAAATTGCAGTTCCAGATGCATTAAATGCTTTGAGGTCTAGAGGGAGCATAGGACAAAGTGGACAATAATAAGAGATGCAAATTCAAGGTATAGGGAAGTAGGAATGAATGAAATTATTATTATCAGATACTGAAATGTTAATATTACTAAGCATTCTTATTGGAATGTAGTTTCTTTTATATAATAATACTATGATAGTTACCAGTAGTTCATTCATGAATATTTTTGAGTGGTTATGGTCTTACTGTAATCACATCCTTCAAAATTAAATTGATTGCTTAATTTCCCCCTTGATTTTCGTACTATAATATTAGTAAAAAGGAGGAAAAAAGTCTGCATGTAAACATAACTCGTCTTTCTCTCTATATATAGAGGCATGTATCTTCGTGTGCAACTAAGCAAAACAAATGTGACTTTTTCTTCTTTAAAAAATTTGTGTTAATAAATAGGATGAGAATTAAGTTCATTTTAAAGACTTACGACACATGAAATATACATGTTCAAAATAAATTAGAAAATTAAGTTCAAATAAATTTTAAGCTAAATTGCGTGTTTAAGTTGCCTTCAGAAAAAATACACTGGTATTCAAAATTAAGAAAATAAACGCATTTTTTTCGAATTTATTATAAAATACTAAGTCTAAACTGGAAAGTATAAGGTCAAATAGAATAATCAATAGTTCTTATGTAAAATACGTAATTTTGTAGTTCTAAAAAGCAGTCGTTTATTTTCCACTGTTAATTCGTTCGTAAACATCAACGATAATACTAGCGTTATAAAACTTCATGAAATTTCACGGGCAGTGCGATAGAATAAGTAAGCATCCATGTGAAAAATCGTTAGAATCGAAAGAATTTAAGAAACCTAACTTAAGAAATTCGTCTCTTCGTTAACCTGTGGTAAAAACAAAATGCAGATATTAAGTGAAATACATGAAGCAGCAGGAAATCTTTCTCATTTTAGATTATATTTCTCTCTTAGAACTTATGAAACTTCAGGACTTAATGAAGCTACGAAACCAAAATGATGTCAAAATATCACTACAGCAGTATACAATGGAGTTTCAATACAATAAGATCTTAAAAGATGTCCGGAAAAAAGGGGAGACAAATATTGTACTGGAGGTTCCAACTTCTCGCATCACTGATGTTCTTATAGAGGTAAATATTATATTTATGATACAATTATTAATGATTATTTAACTTTGGTACAGTATTTCAGAGAACTACATACAAAGGTGATTGATTTAAAGATATTTATTTATATATTTTTCTTCAGGCACAAAAGGCGGGGATGCTGACAGAATATCACAACTATTTAATAACATCTCTCGTAAGTAATTCATCTATAGTAAGTTTTTATTTCAGATAGGAAATTTTTATTAAGTAAAAGATTTTGAAGGGTATAGGTATATATTTATACAGAATTCTTAATTCAAAATAAATATATTCATCATTTTGATGCATAATTCAATAATGAATTTTGGAAACTTTGATTTCTGTATGATGTAAGTAAGTATGGAAATTGACAATTTAGTCATCTTTCAATTTCAAATAAATGTAATTTGAATTTAAATGCTGTTGACACAATTTAATTAATCAATAAAAAATCAGTTCGTAGCAATTAATTTCTGTACATTAATTTACTTACGTAAATATTTAAATGGAAAACTTCATCCCTAAGTGTTTAATATCATTCCTGTATTAGTGTTTTAATTTTTCTTCTCAATTAAGTTTCAGAAAATGTATCTGTGGAGAAAAGGATTTTTTTTCTACGCATTATACCTATTCTTCGCACACATTTTAATTAGGAATATTCTCATTGTTAATTAGGAATATTCTCGTTATTCTCGTTGTTAGAATTCCTGTACCTTCTCTTCTGGGTTTCTTATTAGAACTACGATACATCATCAGTGCACCTTGCAAATTTAAGATAAATTACGAATATACAACTGTACGAAAAGCAAACAAATTTGAAACCGCTTGTTAAATTTCCTGTGATTTAAAAAAGGTAATTAGATGTCTTAAAGGGAGTCTTAGTACAAGATAAAACGCTAATTACAGAAGGCGAATGGTACTAAATAAGGAGAAAATGAAAGACGTATTCGTTTAACACAGTATGACATCCAGAGTAGTGACCCGAAATGAAAGCAATGTTCCGAAAGGGTCTAAAATTGTCGTTAAATAAATATTTATATACTCACAGAACTTAAAAGATATCGAAAAGGAAATTTCTGGATATTTCTTTAGTTCTGTGGAAACAAAATATTTCATGTCAGTGTATGTCACCAAATTCCCTCGTAAAATTTATTAATTGAAATAATTGTATTGATTTCGTCAAACAAAATCAGGGGTAGCAATATTGATTATCTTGATTATCTTTCTGAACAAAATGATCATCCCTAGCTTAAAGCCTCAGTATCAATTTTTCAGTAAAATGCAAATCATTGTATAGAAACGAAAAATTAAAAAGCAGCAAAAGATATTTTCATAAATGAACTCTTATAAATATTTAATAGAAACCAGTTTTTAGAAAAAGAATAAGACAAATCTGTTACTTACTTAGGATTACTTTTTTTAAAAAATTAGGATGGTATAGTTCAGATTCTGATGTTAATTTGGGAAATATTTTTGAAACAAAAAAAAAAAAAAACGCAACTATAGCAGTTTAACATGACATGATAATTAATGATAAGAAAAGCAAACAACAGTACTTTTTCAACGTTTCTCCCATAGATCAAGATCTGCTTTTTTATCTTCTCTTTTCTTCAACATTCACATAACAGCCCTTGAATTTAAGTCTCTAGGTAGGGCTTCAAATAGAACTCTTTTTTTCTGTCCAATTCTCTTTAGTATTGACGCTTAAAGAGTCTTGATATACGAACTCTGTGCCAAACAAATGTTTTTCCCAGAAAGTGATTCTTGTCATTAGTATTGACTTTTCGAACTTGTCATTAGTATTGAAGTTTTCGGAATCTTTACGCATAACTTCGATTTCTTTTCAAACATACGGTTTTTGCGACTCGAGAAGTGGATCTATAAAGCGAACTTATTATTCCCTCCTGCTAGTGTCTTAGAAATCATTCTAACTTCCAATAATGGAGATCCCTTTATCTCCTTTCCTATTCTGAGATTTTAAAAAAGAAATCAACTCCCTTCTGACTGGATTTCTCGGTTCTGAAATTTAGAGACTCGATTATGAGAGTTCAGAACAGTTTTTCAAAGTAACCAAATAATTTTCAATTTAAAGGATATCCAGTAATATTTTAGGTTTTTTAAGCAGCATTCAGTTGCATTTAGCAATCTTTTTCTAGCAAACACGCCTCCGCAAGGATTTAACTCTTTTCTGGTACTTTGGCATTGCTTTTTTTGCAATTTCAGCTAAGCAATTATTAGCATGCCAGTTTTTGTATGTTACAGCAACCCATTTCTATGCCATAGTAATCTAATTTTATATAAACTTAGGAACAAATTTTCACTTAAAACAGTGCATTTAGCATTAAGAAAGAAGAAACAAATCGTTTAGAGGATTATTTCAGACAGACGGTAAAAAAGCAGTAATTAAGATATCACTTCATTCTGTTTATGAAAGAGAGAATTATTTAAACCAATATCGTAATTTTATTCAGTTATACTTAGAATTCTTTTCTCTAGAAACAGGCCTTCATAAGGATTTGACTCATTTCTGTTACTTCGGAATTTCCTTTTTCAACTTCCGCTAAGCAATTTTCGAGTGTCACTTCTTCATAATTACAGCAAACTAGTATATTCCATGTTATAGTAATAGACAAATTAGTGACTATACTTTCAGTTAACAAAATGCTTCAATCATATGAAAGAGAGAGAATGTTTTAAACAAATATCTTAATTTTACTTCCTAATATGGTAAATTATTACAGCTTCTGCAATATTCCACGAAGGAAAAGGAAATATGCGCTTACATTGCCTTTCTCCTTCCGTTAATATTGAATCATTTACTAAGGTATATGCTGCATTAAAAAAGAGATGCTTTTAGTTTTCTCATTGAGATATCTTCAATCCTGAAAGCAAATTATTAAGGAGTAACTCTAATTTTTCTTCTTGATCACTTGGGTATTCATTTTAAAATTTATATTTGCGCGAGAACAGACGCTTTTAACACAGGATATGTTGAAAGTGTTTATGTCCCATCTGTAATAAAGATAATATTTAATAATTCATTCACACAAATTTTGCCTTTATCAAGATATTTTTAAACAAAGCTAGGACAATGTAGTTTCATTGCCAGTTAGATAGCTCTATCAAGCGCTGAATTTCCTGATAGTGCCCTCTGCTAGTGCAAAACTTCGTTTCTATAAGTAAAGGATAATTTTGTTTTCAAGAGTGTAACTACAAATTCTAACATAAAAAAAACTTTCAAAAACAGATAGTCAAGGGGTTACAGCCGAAACATCGCGGCAAAAACAACGCAGATGAAAACGTCCTGGAGAAAACAACGCAGGGCGAAAACTTCGTGGTACAAAACATAAAATAAAGCGGTTCAAAAACTTTGCAGTTTAAAAACATCGGCGAAAATATCAGGGTAAAAAATAAAGTACCTACAAATCATCGCATGACGATAACATCGCACACATCCTTTTTTGAAATCCCGTACTGACATATTATGTAACTGACTCTTGCCATAACTAATCGACATCCAAAAAATTGATTGCACGCTATGCATGAAAATGTTATAGACACCTTAAGGATAAACGCAAAAAAAAAAAAAAAAAAAAAAAAAAAAAAAAAAAAAAACAATACATAATTTTCACTAAAACAGTATCAGATTAACAAAATGTGAAAGAAAATAATTTGATCATTAACTGAGCAATTTTTATAGAGGTAAACTCATGCTGTTATTTATCTTCCTTTTTCTAAGCAATTTTAGACAGTATTTTTTATTAAAAAAAATATCAGTAAAACTTTATAAAAGAAAGCTTAATACATTAATAACCTTTGTTAACTAACTACGTAAATTTAAAATTCTATTAAGTTCGATAAGTTGCATTAATTTTCTACTCATTTTCAGTTTTTATATGCTTAAGTTTCCTTCTTATTCTTTCAGCGAAAATTTATTAGTTCGTTCAAAAATATGAAACAAAAAATAAAAGAATCCCTCTTTCCTTGTTGCGCTCCCAAATAATTATACGAACATGCATTTACAACTTTTAAAACCTGCAAACGCATGTGTGCGATGTTATCGTCATGCAATGATTTATAGGTACTTTATTTTTTACCACGATATTTTGTACCACGATGTTTTTGTTGTGTTGCAAATTCATTTGAGTAATTAATTTATGACTTATTAAAATTTAATTTATTTATATTCTAAATTAGGCTACACAACGCGTAATAAATCTCTGTACTAAATTTTGTTTAACTTTAATTGGGGTTTTGGTACTTAAGAATTGTACGCTCATTTCACTCGTTATTCTGTGAAAGCGCTGAACACACAATGGAATTAGGTATTTTCCACGTAATATTCTTGACTTTATGTTACTTAATTTAAGTTTACCTATTCATAACTTATACTGCTGAAGGAGTAAAATTAGCTCTTCAATTTAAGACTACTTTCAAGTCTTTAGCTACAACAGATTTTAAGTTACAGTAAACTATTTAACTAAATTTTGCAATTTCGGGATATTTTTTGTAAATGGGGAGGGGGAGAACGCAGAAAAACACAGTTTTGAGCAAGATTTTTAACTCTCCTGCTTTCACTGATAAGGGATTTCCAATTGGGGTGAATAGATTTGCCAGCTCTGCCTTCGCAGATGTTTTGATTTGGCGGTCTTTTGGCGATGCGTGAATTTGTGATCAATTTAGCGCCCTGGAAAAAGGAGAAATTTTACAGCATGTAAGGTGGATGAAAAAAAATAGTTTTGTCACAATTTCAAGCGTGTATTGGCGATTGCGGTAAACTTTCCTAACAAAACCAGGATACATTTAGTTGATCCTTTCGTTGTTTCGTTGTAGCTCATGAAAATTGTTTACCTTCCACTTTAAGAAAAATTTAATAAAATTCATATTTTTATTATTGGATAAATTTAGTAATGTGTTTATTTCTCATACATTGTATATTTTACACATGACTTTCACCAGTAAATGAATTAAGGGTTGTTCCATTTCTTTCACACAACGCGATGTATATTATATATTGATTGAGGAAAATTGAGGAAAGTGACTTTTTAGAGAAAGTGACTTTTTAAAGCACCACATAACTTTTTAGATTTGTGATGTTTTCCCTTTGTTTTCTTTTCTCCCACGATGTTTTGTACCACGAAGTTTTCGCCTTTCGTTGTTTTCTCCGCGATGTTTTTGTCGCGATGTTTTCGGCGGATACCATTCAAGCGCATCAATCAGAACGATTCAGCAGAGGGAAAAATTACTATAATCCAAAAAAGGGAATATTAAAATCTCTTTTAAAAGAAGCTATTTGCCTTGTCTGTTTTTGAGGTTCTTTTTTTTTCTTTTTTTTTTACCCTCCATGTTCTATTCCCCTTTGCTAACTTCATTTTTCATTTTGACCTTTTTTTAAAGTTTTAGTTTCCATTTAAATAATCTGCAAATATACGCAAGTAAACTACTTTACGTAGTCATCTCAAATGTATGGTTAATATTGAACTCATTAAATTTTTAAGAATAGAGATTTGTTAAAAGTTTAAAAAATTATATAAATTCTTCATTGCATGTACAGGTACAAATTCTAATTGATTCATTGCTTTTAGGATTTTCATACATTAGATTTATCTCCATTTCTACACTGTCGGTCTAATATTTCTGCCTTCAGAATAGTATCTCCTGAAAGTCAGTACTATGGTCGTGAAGCTCGACCCTGGCGGTTTGGACGCAAAGAACATTCACTCAAGAAAGAAGTTCCACTGACGGTAGGGAAACACATTTCATTATCATTTATAAAGTAACACATTTCATTATCATTTATAAAGTATCTTCTTTCTGAAATATTTATTTAATTTCTGCAGTTAATTACATTTTTCATCCGTGCAATAATAATTCGAGAAATTTAGATTGAATCAAAATACTTATATTAGAGGAGTATTTTGATTTGGATTGCAGGGAGATTAAATAGTTTTGATACGAGAGACGTGGAAAATGAGCAATGTACTTGCCGGAACTCAGACACGGACCTCTCGAATATGCGCCGAGCGTATTGACCACTACACCGCGAAGGCATGCTAAGAAGGCGGGACAAATACTTTATATACCCCCTTTTAAACGGTGACTGAAGATAAGGGGATCCAGTCGCCAAATCCTGATGGTGGAGAATCATCATCCACCACCCTTTTTAGTTCGGGCCCCACTGTAGAGACATTAGGTATTTTTGATGGAGACTTGAAAAATAGGCAGTGACCTCGCCGGGACTCGCCGAATACGTGCCAAGCGTGTTACCCACTACACCACGAAGGCATGCTAAGTACCGTGAGAAATACCTTATATACTTATACCCATTAAGTTTAAATGCATACAATGGTTAGATATTTAAATTTAGTGTATATAAATGTGATAGAAAACGAAATAACAAAACTGCACTTAAATTTAAATATAAATTAATATCAGAGTTTTATTTTCTATGAAAAATTGCTGTCGGATCTTTCTAAACCAGTGCTGCAAGTTACGGCTAAAATCTGACAATCCGGCATGATCGGGACTTCAGCGATGCAGGATTATAGGAGTAAATTAGCAGAAAAAAATTCATTAATTCAATAAAAATATTTTCTCCCTCAGTATTAAATGCATCGAAGAAATGAAAAATAGCGTATAGTAATTATTGAAGCATATTTAATGAGCAAAATTTATTAGTAAATAAATGTTTCATAGTTTAATTATATTTACTCAGTTTTTGTTTTCAGTCGTCAACACTACCAGAGCATGAAATCGTTCTAAATAAAGTTCGAATGTCCATTTGGTTTAAAAACTTCCGCTCTTTCTTCTTTAAAAAGAGAGAGAAAGGTGTCATTTCTCTCTTTTTTCTTTAAAAAACGTCATTTCAAAGAACATGAATGTTTATTAGTTTTTCAAGATAATATCTCTTTTAACTTTTCCAACGAATTTCACAAATACAGTTGCAGGTCGTATATGTCCGCTTTGTCCAATTTCATGTACATCCGCTTTGAAGCGAAAACTTTTGTGTGGAATGGAACTCGAGTTCGATGAATCACAATTGCTACCATTGTTTACCTTTTTCGAGATAACGCTAAGACTGCCCATGCGTATCAGCACGGCTGCTGCTGCTACTCTAAAAAAAACCCGCGAAATAACTTTGAATTATCACGTGATTTTGTGTTTTTTCCCGCAAAGTTTTGAAAATTTATTTACAGTAAATTTCAAGAAGGTAGCAAGAGAAGAGTCAAGCAACTGAACGGTTAGGATAGCCATGGAGATGAAAAAAGAGATCGCTAAAAAGTATGAAGGGAGCATTCGTTTCCGGGACGCATGATTCACAAGTGCACGTCAGTATCGCCACTGAGAGAGGTGTTTAAAAAATGGGCCAATGAGCTAGTGTTGCTCTTGTGATGCTGAATCTTTGAATCTGTGCGTATGAACACATGGTCTTCTTTCCGTTTTATTTTGCACTTTTTTCGCAGTTATAAATGTATGGCGTATAAATTCTTCTATCCTTTTAGTACAAAATCTCGTAGTGCCTTCATTTTATAAGTTTAATTAATCGTCACAATTTCACTTTCACGAAACTTATCAGGCACTGATATTTATTCGGATTAATGTTCGTGGCGTATTATTGCCCTTTTTATAGAGAAAATGATTCAAGCCAAATTTTTTGAAATTTGAAAAATTGAAAATTTTCACAAGAAATCTACGATAATGTAATTATTTTCAACAGAAAAGTGTGGCAACATATTTTCAACCAGTTTGCTGAAAGAGCAGCAAAGGTCATGCGAAAATAACAGAAATATTACTGGAAGCCTAATGGGTCCATTCTTGAAGCCACTCCCTGAGTAGCGATACTGATGTGCTTACTTAAAATATGCTTCCGAGACTTGGCTGTTGCTATGTCACGTAGTCCTTTCAACAATTTCGTTTCCTGAAAGCCTGATTAATGGATTAATTGAAGGAAGTTTTTCTGTTTCTGTTTCTTACAACTGTCCTCAGTAAAGAGTAAAGTTAGGTGGATCATCAATATTTTCATCTTTCATGGAAATTCATTTTATAGCATTTAGCCACAGTTTTCGCCAAACGTTCCATAATGTTTTGTTATTTCACCATTTTCAAGCTTTGCAAACGGGAGATTATACATTTCGTGTTGAACTATACATGGAACTATGCAGAATTCAATAAATTTCGCATAACTAATTCCTATATTTACATTTAAAGTTCTGAATCATTTTTAGTCACAGGTTTAATTAATAATATGGTCAGTTGTTAAACTCACATGTTTCCATTTTATTTATTTGCCAACACTTTTTATCAAGTTCTGAAGACCTTTTAAATAAATAAAGATTAAGAAAGTAAAGGATACATAAAAATGGAAAGTTTTGAACAAAAGAATAATCGAAAATGACAAGACAATCCAAAAGCTGCAGAGCTTTTCCGAATATTGTCGAATGAAATATTAGTACCATCCTCTTATTTCAGAAGTGTCATTAAAAAGGTTGTTGGATTATCGGGAGTGCCTAACTACTGGATGCCGAATTATCCGATGTTTACTGTATTATTAAGAGATTAGTTGCATTTTGAACTTATATGTAAAACGTGCCCACATAAGTCCTTATTATGTTTTACATAAGTCCTTTATTTTCGCAACCGTTGGTTGTAGACCCATATTTGCAATTACAAAAATTTCTCAAATGACACAATAATTCATATTTTGGCATTTTTAAATTTAAAAAGTTAGTTTTGTGAAAAATACGAGATCTAGCATTTATACGTTGGCCTTGTCCCTATACTTATATTTAAGAAAATTTTAAACTTATTTTTTTTAACAAAAAAACAAAATACAGAAGATTTAATTCTTGCATGACAAAAAAAGCTACCAAAATATTTCACTTTAAGGCTAGATATCATATTCAATGGAGAAACTGAAGAGCGAAACTTTGCATTAGTATATATAATTAAAAATAAATTACATACTTTATCAGGACTTGTATTTCTCTTTATCTGCTTTGGGAACATGAAGTGTCCACGAGGCAATGAGTTTGACTACAAACTATATCTTATGGAATGTATAAGAGACGACAAGATGAGAAGAGTTCAATTACCCTTTATTTTTCACGACATTACAGGCGCTCCCGCACTTTGGAATACAAAGACCAACAACCACTTATGATCTGAACGTAAAAATATACGAACTACCAACTAACTAAAAATAAGAGTTAACTTTGAAAACTTTACACAAATGACTAACACTAAGACCGGCCTTTTAAATTATTACGTATGTAGTACGCAAATTGCGGAAAACTACAATACGTCTTTAGCTTTCAAAAGGACTAAAACCTCTGGTCTTAAAGGCGGACAGCAACTGATTGCAGGCTCGCGTGAAATGCAGTGGCAAGGCGGCTCAATTTCTCTCCATCTAAAAACTCTGCTCTTGGCAAAAATCCACAACTTAAATACTTAAGCGTTAGCAAGTACAATTTGCTAAATATATACATATCGGAAGTGGAAAATAAGAGAGGACAGTACAGGTTTAAAATAAAATAAACGTTAGTAAAACGTAAGATTCTTACAACTTGTCTAATTGTCTAATTGAAACTTTTTCTGATATTAATAGATTAACTCATGAGCACTTTCATGCAAATTGTCATGAAAATTACTGATCAGTACTTTTTTATTCAAAACTAAGAGAGCTTATTCACAGAATCATAGAATTCGTGTTGTTGAAAACACCGGCATGCTGTATCGTGTTGTAGAAAACACCGGCATGCTGTATCGTGCTGTAGAAAACACCGGCAGACTGTACCGGCATGTAGCCAACTCGTAACATTATTTGCATGACTTCAAAACTAATTTATTCTGATTAATTAGTGATTCTAAAGTAATGACAATTCACATTAACAACGTAGCCTAGGGTTTTAAAACTTGTAAATTATATGAAAATCTTTTCGAACTGCCAATTATAACAAAATTATAAATTAAGGAATGTTGTACACTGAGTATATCATAAAAGAACACTACTTAATATTTAATGGGGGAAAATTAATCTCGAATAATTCTAATTTATTTATAAACCAACTAACCATTTATTAACTACGGCAAGTTGGAAATAACATCAGATATCCAAAATTTCGAAATTAAATATCTTGATCAATATTAATCGTACGCTAGTCAAACGTTTTTTGTTTAATTTTTATAAGAAGCATGAAAGCTTTCTAACTATAAGTATAGAGCAAGGATGATCTTATAAAAAGTTAAATTTCATAACTTTTATAAAATTAACTTTTGAAAACTTAAAAATACCAAAATTGGAATCTTTTCTGCATTTAACACATTTTCCTAATTGAAAGTGTGGCCATCATTTGCGAAAAAAAATCGGGTAAGGACTTTTATGGGTACGGTGTATTGCCACTTATAGAATTACTTTTGAAAATATAACATCGCACGGCAGATAACTTAAGTTTAAAACAACAAATAAATGCAAATGATTCTAAGAAAATTTTAAAACGTCCTTCTTAGAAGCATGCTTTGTTCTTCTAAAAAGGAAATTAATGAGAAATGAAGATATCATGCCTATTTGTAAAGTGCTAATAGTAAATTTAGCAATTCTGGTACGTAACCTTTCCATTACAGAACTTTTCTAAACTTTCTACAATTTTAAAAAATTGGATTTTTATATTTCCTTAACATTTTTCAGACGGAAACAGCATTACTAGTTGATGCAGTCAATTTGTATGCAAGAGCATTACACAGTGTTGCAGAGAAGCATCCTCTCGCATCTCGCAGTATTTCTTGCGATAGTCCCGCAACTTGGCCTTACGGATCTGACCTTCTAGATGCAATCAAAAGAGTAAGTATACTTAAAATAAAATCCTTTATAAAATATACTTACTTATTATTGTTAACAGCTTGCAGCATGGTTCTGCAAAATATCTTTCGAAAGTAATGCGCAGAGCTATGTTTATGTACAAAGTACCAATAAATAAATAAATAAATGTTGCTTTGAAATAATTGCTTACTTCAGGTCATTTTAGTACCTGTAGGTGAAACTGGTTTTGGCACTGATTTCCATGAACGTCCAGGCACACAGGCACATGCTTCTGAATACTATGCAAGACTTCTCTCAAATGACAGTGCTCTTTACAAGGAAGCGTGAAGCTTTATCAAATCGCGGACCTGATTGGCTGCAGACGATAGGAGATGATGAAATTTTAAAAATAAAATCTAGTAAAAATTAGATAATATAACCAACAGTATGAGTTGTTATATTGTCTTCTTGAATCCACTCTTCCTGCGTATTTCATGCAAATTTGGATACGAATGATTTTAAAATTCCGAATTCACTTAAGAAATTGGTTCAGCAATGCAAGATACAAACATCCATCACGATGTAAGTTTTATAGTAAGTCGTCTTGTTATCATTTAGGCATCATGTTATAAACAGCATAAAAGTTATAGGAGTGAGTTATGTTAGAGTATAGGTGTCATGGACAAATTTTCTGATTAGGTCATTTTTCAATACCTATTACAGACAGAAATTCAAAATCTTTCAATCAAATTTAGGAAGCAACTAAAGGCTAAAATTCGCTACTTTTGGGAGATCATTTATACGATATTGTGTGAAACATTGATGATCGTTAGTGAATTTTAACCAGTTTACAGGAAATTTACGTATAATAACGTATATATTTCCGAACTATTTAAAATTTAAATATTCTTGTGTAGCATGATAAATATTTTGCTTGTAGAAATCTTTACTCTATGAGTTCTTGTAAAAGATTTGATCTAATATTTACATCCCTTTCCCTCCTACAGAGTTGAAACTGCTTTTATAAAATCCTTTCAAATTCGAACAAATTTAGTCAGAGAGTTTTATTCAAAATCTGCACCAAACTAAAGTTGCTTTTTTACCTAATTTTATATTGGCGTATTTTTCATTCAATCTGATCTATTAATCAATTATTTTGATATGTCAGTTTTTATCATTGGTTTGCACAAAGTCTTCAGTCATAATCAATATAAAAGTCATTATTTAAAGAAATAAAGTTTATAACTGCAACAATATGAGAAGCCTGACATTTTTCATGTGTTTTTATGCATTAATTTATTTTTTTCACTGAAATTTATTAAAAGCTATAAATCTTTAAAATTAGGCAAAAAAAAGCTTTAGTTTGGAGCAGATTTTGAACAAAACTCCATCGATTTCGAGGGCGATAAGACATAAGTCAGTATGTCAGTAAGTCTTTCAGTATCAAAAATGTTTTCTATTATAGAAATGTTTTAGATCCTAAAGATGAAGGATCTGTGACTCATCGCGCTTGAAATTCAGACAGTTTTATTCAAAATCTACACCAAACTAAAGCTGCTTTTTTACTTAATTTTATATTGGCGTATTTTTCATTCAATCTGATCCTATTAATAAATTATTTTGATATGTCAGTTTTTATGATTGGTTTGCACAACGTCTTCAGTCATAATCTATATAAAAGTTACTACTCGGTTTAACAGTAGGGAAACTGACACCTAAACGGTGATTATCTTATTGTCGGGGTTATGCAAAAGCAATAAAGTCTGGGATTAATAAATATGAAGTCAGTAGCCCTGTTATTTCAATTGTTGTAGCTCCTTACAGTGTGAAAGGAACTGAATAAATAATAAATGTGAACTCTAATTTTTCAGATTCCAACTTAACTCTGAAAAAATATCATAAATTGACGTCCCTGAATTCTGAAGTTTGGCAGTTCTTTCACAAAGCTTAATTCGGATCCTTTTTTAATGAAGAATTTTTGCCCGAACATAAATATCATATTTAAATAAAATAAGAGCAATAAGAATTTCGAATTTTACTAACCAGACGTTTCTGAAATGCAAATCATAAACATACATACATGGTGCTCTTTAAACCTGAACACCTTCAAAAATTATATAAACGAGCAAATTAGTGTATAAGAGTGCGATGTGTATCGCAAAATTATCTCAAGTAACGATTTTTGAGGACTATAAATTATGTTTTAGTTTAAAATTATAAAGATATTATCGCACTCTAGGAATACAATCTTTATTTGTACGTGCTCTAATGGTATACGTGGTAGCAAGTATACGTCCAGCTAGCAAACGTGGTATACTATATAAACGTGGTATGGTATAGATACGTGGTATACGTCCAGCTAGCAAAGCCAGCTAGCTTGTAAGAAACATGATTCGATTCCCGGCGAGGACACAGCTGATTTTCCGTGTTTCTTGCTTCGAGAAACTTCAATAATCTTTCCAAATATATATCTTATGCCAAAAACATCCACCTCTACGGATAAGACTGTAGGTGCATATCGCACTTATCGGTTTATTGATTTTGTATGATACTTAAGATGTGTACAGATTTATAGGACACCCTGTATTTCCTTCCTTTTTCTTTCTTAAATGAAAAAAAATCATTTCTAATCTATAACACCCACTTTTGTTGTATGACTAAAGCAAAGCATTGCTGGCTCGATAAAACTAAAAACAAGAAGAAACATATAAATGACAAATATCCGTATGTCTCCAGAAAATTTTATTAGTTTAATGAGATGTTATTTCTATTGTCGACGACAGTAATAAAATAGAATATTTATAAAGTAATTGTATTTCCAACATACATGATATATGGCGGTTAAATCTTTTTATTGATTATTGTTATGAAAAATATTGATGAAATAATGAATTTTCATAAAAATTTAGCATTCTGCTTGCAAATAGCAATGCAAACAACTGAGTGGAAGGAACAGCACATGAAGAGGAAATATCCTATTAAATCCTTGTTGATATCATTCAAAAGCTCAAAATGCTATTAAGAAGTGCATAATGTTTTTGAAAGTCTTTCTTTAATGAAGGAATGTCTTAATGTAATTTGAAAGATAAGTGGAAGCTCACATTGTGCGTAGATTAGCAGCAGTGTTCTGTTTTAACGGTGCACGGATTTCTCAGTAAAATGAAATGATCAATACCTTTTGCAGGAGTTGTTAAACAAAAATAAGAAATCAAAGTTAGTTTCACTATAATATGTTTTAATATATGAAATTGCTTTATTTAAAAGTAAAGTTTCATTCATATTTGAGAAACACATATTGCATAACTTATTCTATACCGAAATTTACTGATTTTTCTAGGTCCGAATGAAAGGACTGACGGGTGATATTCAAATAAACAATCAAGGACATCGCAGCAATTTCACACTAGATCTTCTGGAATTAAAGACGAAGGGAATCGTCAAGGTACTGAGGTTGGCAGTCAACTTCATTTTGTACGTTTAAAGTTTTTTGGTATAACAAAATAAATGTTACGACCTAAGCAATATCAAATATTATATCGCTTTGGTGAACCAATATAAGAAGGTTTTTTTCACAGTAATATTATTTACGATACTTACATAACTTTTTGTTTTTGGTCAATCCAAAATTGCTGTCATTTGCAACAGGACTCAAAATTAGAGACTAATCTAAACTTAAAATAAAAGACTAATTTATGTTTGAATCCAACCAGAGGTTTAACTCGTCGCATACGAAGAAAACATAATAATAATGCACTTTGAAATTTGATAGCATGCAAAAGCACAAAACCAATAGAAGAGAATTAGCATTTATAGTCCTTCCATTATGCAAAATAAAAACTCGATAAAAGTAAGCATTATATCCCTCGGCTTTCATACTTGCTGTAAGAATTTTTTTACTTTCATTTTCTCCATTTTGGTTATAAATCAGAAACGCAATGTGTAAGTGAGATCTAGTAACCAAGAACTGTCAGTAATTTGTAAAAGAATTTTAACAGACTTGCCCAGAAATTTTAATTTACTGGAATGCCACTTATCCGGATTAACTCGGTGGAATTAATTCGGTTAAAGTTTGTTTACCTGATAGCCCATGATCGGGCTCGTTTTCCTAAAAAAATAAAAACGGCTGTGTTAAATAAAACTAAAACATTTTGAAAATATTTTATATTTACATCAGCTAAACAAAATAATATACATGTGTTATTAAAAAGAATGTTAAATCTTGATTTTTATTACTGGTGTAATTTTGAGCTAAAGCGGAGCCTTTCGTCACGAACAAATTATCTGAATAAAACATATCTCGGATGGCGAACAATATCTCAAGTTACTCAACAAATAATTTTCGCTGTTTCGAGCTACTCTGTGACACAGACTTAACTTGAGAGACTTCTGGAACTATCATTTTAATATTTTCCTTTTCTTAAATCTCAGAATATAAGTCTCGTAGCAAGTGACTTGCAAGACCATGAGTTCTGCTTGAAGAAAATTAAAGCCAGGCTGTGTTGCAGCAGAAAGAGTTTGAAGGCTTGCAACACCTACTTTTTCTTCTTCGTTACTTATGATATTTTGTCTGTAGGCAATCCATGGGCTTGGACGTTAGCACTGAATACCTGGAAGAGTTATTAGAGAATCATAAAAACGAACTCAAAGAAAATGCACTGGAAAATCTCCAGAAGAACCAACAAAAATGGACTAATGTGTTCAGTGGAAAAGGAATAAAAAAGAGGATCTTAGATCTTTGACCAAAATGGGGGGGAGGTAAAGTGTTAATTGTTCATGTAACGATACGCCCTGATAAAACAGCAAATATAAACATTTTCATTGACAAAGCCATGTCTGACTCTAGAAATATTTTAAAACCTAGCAACAACGTAGCACAGGGAATCTGAAGCAGAGTCGAGGAGCACTGAAACAAAGTAGCAGATGCTTCAGAGAGACGTACTTATTAGAAGGAAACTTTTCATCCAAACAATAATGTCTTTTCCCTTTCTCTTCCTCGTCATTTCTCACTTCTCTTTCATATGGATACGGTAAAATTAAATTACGTTTTCGTCTATTTTATCTATTAAATATAGTGCTTATCTTTTTAATGTGATTTAATAACATCTATTAGTTTTGTATCATAAACGTGTGTTCAAATATACTTTCGTAAAATTTAGATAAACATTCTTCTGTGGTCCAAGAACGAATTAATGCATTTTATATTAATTCTATGAAAAGGCTTAAAATTGGGGACACTTGGGATCATGACAGGCCCTTAGGATGAATTAAGGTATTCGCTATATCAATCCAGTATTCCATTGATGAAGTAAAGGGAGACCTAATGATAATGCCGTTTAAATACTGACGCGTGTATTTACATGCACGCTGACACAGGGATGCAGATACAAATAGTCTTTAAAATAATGCAGTTAAAAAAAGAATTGATAATTTCACGTAAATAACAGTTAAGTTCTAAACATTCTTCAGTTCAGATTTATTTTTCTTAAAATTTGTTACCATCATTTATAGTCCATTCATAAATTTCTTCATGCATTGATAAAAATTCAATAGGAATGGTGACATGAAATCTATTTTATCATAGTTTATTTAAATATTAATATTTTCAGTTGTAGTGCTCTTAATGTTTCGGTATATAACTCACTGTGAAGGAAATATTAGTAAATTTTGATTGACACAACCCTCAATGATATAGGCACTTAATAGGTTGTATCCTGGACGAAGATTTCAAATCATCATTTTGCATACTCAGATCTTTTTTTTAAATTACAAAATGCATTTCCAGCTTTAGGTAAAGATAACAATGCAGAAGCTAAATTTATGAGGAAAGTAGAAATGACTAGCTTTCATTCAATGTTAATCATTTCCTTCACAGTTTTTGATTATAAATCGGATTCCTTCTGAGCAGAATTTTGGTAAAGCAGGATTTTACTATTCTAGAATGGAGCCACTATTCCATTCTAAACTCAAACAATTCTGATGAAACAGGAAAATTCGTCGCTAGTAGGGAGATGGTGTCTTTATTTCTTGGAAGATTAAACTTACGCACTACTAGACGTGCCTTGATCATTGATACAAAATTTTAAAAAAACTTTCGAAAAGTAACTTTAGTCTTTCTAAAGCGTATGTCCTTTGGAAAAACAAATGTTATTTTTGCAACCAGTGCTAGTGATACACGTTTGATAATAAAAAAGACCAGATTTAGTTTTAAGCTAAGATCTATGATTTTTATGCTGAAGAGGTCCATCAGAGGCCGAAAGAAAAAGACGGCTGAACACTAGAAGTTCTGCCGTTAGCATTTCTACCTTAGTGCAGATAACCTCGTGGGCTTTGTCTTAGCCTATTAAACAAAAAATTCACAAACATTTTGAAGGATATGGTGTAAAAATAGAAATAGGTGACAACCTGAAGATTTTAGTGGCTCAAACAATTACAGTAGTCTATTCTTGCAAAATCCAGGTTATGATGTCATGCAATCGGTTGCTTCATATTTTTCCAAGAACAATATGCTATATAGATATAAATATGCTATATATTCATATTTTTCCAAGAAAAATATGCTATATAGATATAAAAATGCGCATTAAAAACTGTGATATTGGCATATAGAACTTGAATATTGCAGATGCAAATCACACTAAACTAGAGTACAAAAAAGGCATATGCATATTGGTCGAAACAAAAAGAAGTTTGGGATCACTAGCAGACGCGTGAATAAGACCATTGTGTGCTAACATCTAAGCTACGAGTGGCAAAAAGAGTAGCACAACGCAACAACAAGCCGGCGCACTCACCAGCTCTTTCCAAAAATCGCCACAGAAATCAGAAATTCCAAGGTCCTTCCTAACTTATTACCTTACCGATCATAGCCTATATCCAGATTATTTTCTTTAAAGGAATCTCTCAGCGACAATTACATCTGTGGAGTGACAGGAGCTGCAGACCATTACCTATTCTTCTGCTCTTTTACAACTGCACATTCGAAAACCCACCAATTTATACCTTAACTTCAACAGACTGGTGATATTTCAACGCCATTTATATCCCCAAATCGTGAAAACGCATCTAAAGCCCTGTGCTCTAGGACTATACCTACGCCAAGTCACACCTTAGGACCAAAAACCAAAAAGCGGAAAGAGCAATGACTAGGCTACTTCCCAATAATTGATTCCGGATAACATCAATTTCCATTATGCTTCAAAACACCAAATATACTGAGCTGAGCTTATAAACTATGGATATTGGACAGAAAGATCTGAGCTCAATACCGTCTTGCCTGTAACAAATATCTTCACGTAGCAAGATATTACAATGTATTAGCAAAATATTAGCAGATGTTATAATACATTAGCAAAATCAAATCCCATATGTTTATCTACATACATAAAAATGCAAAAATTCCAGTGCGACGATCTCCAAAATATCAACTCAATATACTCATTACAATATTGGATTAATCCAATATTGTAATCTGTATACCAAACGGTTTCTGTTATAGTATGTAATTTTGCCTAATTTTATGTTTTTAGCCTCTTATGTTTAAATATAACAACTTCGATGTATAACTCCAGTGTACCTTAGGAGAAAAAGTATGCAATCAATTTCAGTTTTTCATACTCTAACTGGTTAGTGTATCGGGGCAAAACCAGTTCGATTCTGTAGTGAAGTGTCTGGTGCCTCATGTACTTTTACCTGTTTACCTAAACAGTGTGGTTGCCTAACGTTTTAATGGTTTTTGCAATGTATAATTAGACTACAAACCAGTTTTCCTTAGAAAGCTCTCAAGATGTCATCTCTCTTATGGAAAACAGCTATCGTGGGCTTTAGCATATTAAATAAAATAACCTAATCTAAGGTGATGATAAGAGGTTTTATCCTTTGCTGCGTTTAATTTATGCAACACCTTATTGCGAGTGTCATAGTATCGATTGTGGGATAAAACGATGAGAGCAATTTTCAGCATATGCGATAATAATGCGAAACACTGAAAAAATCTAAGGAGCAACACAAGGTTATTTTTCAAGTAACCATGAAAATAAAATTGCAATGTAATGAACAAACTAAAAATGCAAAAGCAGCAGATTTAGAGTAGTACTAATAATTAACATTTGTAGAGACATTAGGTATTTTTTTTTAAAGCAGGCGAGATGAAAAATTAGCAAACGCCTTTGCCGGGAATCGAACCACGGACCTCTGGAATACCGGCCCAGCGTGCAGACGACCACACCATGAAAGCACACTAGGAAGGCGGGAGAAATACCTTATACATTTACAGTATATACTGTTTATGCTTCTATCACCTGAAATATGTAAAAGAAGAGAAAGCAAACAATAGGTCAATTATTATTCATTTGTTTTTAGTAAAACTGTTAAAAGCTTAGATCAAAGAGGAAGTAAAAACGCTAATTATTAATTTATTAATTTTTAATTTCCGTACACTTTATTTTCAGATTTACAAGCATTTACATTCTGCCTTACATATTCAAGGAAGTAAAAAAGCTAATTATTAATCTATTAATTTTTAATTTCCGTACATTTCATTTTCAGATTTACAAGCATTTACATTCTGTCTTAGATACTCAGAAACATATTATGCTAGTTTATCCTACTGATGCAGAGCAATGTAGCAAAACTTCTTTTTATGGTATTAAAACATAGTTTAACATTAAACTGCTTTGCATTCTTCCTTTTTAAATTAAGGAAATTAATTAAATGAATATTAAATATTTATTTCAGAGGCTGTTGTCTGTTTTACATGCAAAAAAGTATAATAAATTGTTTTCCTAAAAGATAATTTATTTTCTTCCAGATTTTAAAGAATAATTACAATACTTGCCTTCCTTTTATTTTTTTTTTTAAGACAAAATGTGTGATTTTGCAGAAAATAAATGAAAAGAAAATCAAATTTAAGCTTCTCACTTGCTGCTTTCGAAACTTTACCTGAATTTATTTATGGATAAATAAATGAAATTTGAACTATCTTTTAAATTTTATTCCATTTACCTTTCAAACCTTCATTGATATAAAATTTGGATGCATTACTAGGGCCCAAAGAATGTTATAACAATTTATATTGTTAATTTGGAACTACATGGAGGAGTTAGTTTCTGCGTATTCGAATTCAATGTGTTTGAAAGCCACTTTATTATGAATGAGTAAAAATCACACAAAAGGAATGCATCTTGTATTATTTTATGAAAGCATTTACAAGGAAAAGTAAATCCTTGTATGAATTTCTGTTATAAAAAAATCTTTGAAAAGATTTTTTGTACTTTGATGGTTTCCATTAACTCCAAAAGGCACTTTCAACATTTTAGGTGGGAACATGGGATCCCGAGAAAGAAGTACAATATTCTAGGAATTATTCAAGTGATTTATCGGAGACCAAAAAGAATTTAGAAAACATAACGCTGCGTGTCATGTCTAAAAGGGTAAGGAAACTAATTTATGTCAAGATATATTTTGATTAAAAGTGTTTTGCATGAAAATGTGTATCTTAAAATGCAAACTAAGACATAGAAATCAGCATAGAGTAATTCAGGAGGTTTAATATTCCCTTTCGAAGCATTCCAAGCATATATTTTTCATTCTGCATAGGAAATTTAGTAAATTCGTATAACCATTAGCAAATGATAATTTGATTGTATTTCGTAAAGATTTACAAACGAAATTGTGTCTGAAAATAAAGCAATTATAGGTTGCTACCGATCATAAAATTATAAATTAATGTATGCATTATACAAATAGAAATGAAATATCTCAAAGCGTAAAAATGTGTGAAATGATTTCTTTATAAATTAATTGTATATACGAGTTGAAAAATACTTATTGTAACAGAGTTTAATTTAAACTTCTAATTTGGTAGCAGGAAAGAAATGCTTTTTGTGTTATTGATATCAAGATACTTTATTTACCGATGGACATTACAAATATATTTAAATATTAAACAGAACTATGTTTAATATTTAAATGTTTCGAATACAGTCTACTCTTGATTATCCGTGTGCGGATTATTCGGTTTGTCCATGCCTGTCAGTGCCCACGCATGAATACTCAAAGTTATGCTCGAAAATCTCACACACACACTCTTAAAAAAAATAAATAAAAAAAAAAAAAAAAAAAAAAAAACACGCGGAATTTCGAACATACTCTAAAAAAGGGATGAATTGTGACCACCTCTCGTTCGTTCTGCACACGCATAAAGGCATCTTTTGGATTGATCACTGAGATTGTGTTGTTTCATGCTTATTTTTGTGCATATTTTATTCTTTCAAAATGTGATTTAAAATTTGAGAACTAAAAATGAATTAAGAACATATTACAAGTACTATGCGTTTCAGGTGCCACAAGAACGGAAGAGGCACAAAGTGATACTGAAAATATAAACGAAGAACATACCGGGAGGGGGTGGGACAATTACATTAGTTCCGAGACAGGAATCGTTTCTATTCAAACTCAGCTGGAAATTCAAACTCAGCTTCTTCAGCAAAGTGGTTTCCAATACAATGATAAACTAGCACTTCGGAAAACTCGCAATGTAATTCAACAAATATTTAAACGTTCTCAAAGAGAAAGATTACTGATTGCTTAAGAAATAAGCATGTACTATAAACATGAAAATTGATAGTTTGGATTATCCGTGACTACTTCCTCGACATTAGCCCGGATAATCGAGAGTACACTGTATTATGCACTTAACATTACAAACAGTAATGTTTTGAGCAAAAGGAGTTTAGTTTTAAACTCTGTTTACAAAAGATTAGATCTTTCGATATTAGCAGATTACTTTCATCGAATATTGTAGAAATTTAATGTATTGAAAATCTTAAAGGCGATTTTATCCTATTAGATAGGGAAAAAAGGTATTCTAAACCAGAGGTTTCCAACCTGTGGTACATGTGACATTCGAAACAATTTGAATGGCGTTATACTTAAAATTAATTTTTGCAGTTCATAAAGTGTTGTTTATGTAAAATTGGAAAAGTAGTTAATTGCTGCTCTAAACTAATTAATTGCTGTTCTAAAACTTTGTAATTAGAAATTTTGCTCTTTCTCTTTTCATTTTCAATTTTCATTGCCTATGTTCCAAATTTCACCACTAGAGGAGCTGCTGTCTTTTGCATTAGATCGGGCGTAGTCGCATTACTGTACCGTTACCTCAGTTGCATAGTTCTCTCCGCTCGCAAGAATTTTCAGGTTAAAGGGACTTTCCTATGCACCCTATATATATAGTAATGATTTAGTGCACTATATAGTAATGATTTAGTACAATAAACTCCAGTTCATTCTGTAATCTGTACGAATCTGTAAATTTAGCATATGTATGAAGAAGAATTATTACTCAACAAACCTGTAAATTTAGTATGTAATACAGTAATATATCATATTGATTATACAATGACTAGGTCATAAATTTTTAGATATATAATATGATCAAGTATTATTCATTTGCATTTAAAAGTGCAAAGTTCTTTAAATAGAGTCTCAATTTTAGTATGAAAGAAGTTATACATTGATTAACTTTAAATATATTATAGGCTTAAATTTTACTGTGGTACAACGTCATTTCAAGAATGATTAAAGTTTTAAGAGTATAGGACTATATCTCATCAATAGTCAGTAATTCATAAACACACTCATTTCCGAAGCTGATATTATAAATTATTAAATTCATAATATTATGTTTTAGTTTGAAAATATGTGTTATTTATGTGAATTGAATAACGTAGTAGTTAGTCTTGTTTTTTTATTATTATTATATTCTTCTGACCTCATTCAGAGCAGTTTTAATCATTCTTTGGATCACATTAATTTTATTGTATAAAGATGATGTAATAATAAAATATATTGCTGGAGGGAAGATCATAGGTTCTGAAGGGGGAAGTTAGTGGTAATCACACCACACAGAATAACATTCTTTAAATAGTCTTATTAAAGGGCTGCGAGAAAGAAAAAAGTTTAAGAACTACTCTTCTAAACTACAAAAAGTAATAAATAATAAAAAATTAAAAAGAATTTAGAAAGATTTAAAAAGATTTCGAAATTACAGCAGATTATTCACAGTCCTTTAGTGGTGATTCGAATGTTTTCTGATATGTAGAAGTCTTTATAATACAAACACTTGCAGATTTACCGAAATCGCATGATCTTGCCTTTCTCTGAAATGTAAAAGTTGGTTATAAGATTAAATTTTCGTTTATTGTTATCATAAAAAGTAGTGCTCTAATTTGTTTAAATTTTTGTTGCACTTTTAACAAATATTAAAATTCTGAAATCTATAAAAATATAAAGAAAACACTAATATTAAATATAAGATCAAAGCAAAAATAGAGTTGGAATTAGGAGAAACACAGAATAACATTCTTTAAATAGTTAATTTGCTTCAGAATAACATAAACAATAACATTCAAAATAACAACATTGAGCATACTTTAGTATTACAATTTTGTGAGCTATACCAGTTTAAAAATTTTATATGTATACGTATATACTCGTATATGAGTGTGTGTGTGTGTGCAAGGATTTGAGAATGACGCAGACAGATGTTGAAACACACATAGTAAATCCGGAATGAAGAAGAAACTGGGAGAAGGTATACAGATGCAATAAGATGCAGTAGCAGCAGATTTAAATCATATAGTTTTTTATTGTAATTAAACATTTTGCGGCCACAATTCAGTAGGCACAATAATCGTGTCTGTTTCAGAACAGTTACATTTTGCATATTGTTGCGATAGGCAGAAAAGCATAAAGCAGCATGCTGTCGAGAATAAATGTAGAAGCGAAATGCGCAGTTATTCCAATATGACAGCTTACTAAGAGAAATTTTCAGTTTAAGTTCCGAATTAGCTACATTATCAGCGTTCATAAGTCATATGCACGGAGTGATCTAGAAATTACGCAGTCCTGAAAACTTTATTACTATTTTTAAGTGCCCAAATTAAAAAGAGGTATTAAGGGCTATTGATAATTTAATTTATAATTTTAGTTACATATTTTTATCTTACACACACACACACACACACACACACACACACACATATATATATATATATATATAAATTAATTTTAAAAGCAAATTTAACATCTAGGGAATTTAAAGTATATTTTCTCCTTGTAATTCCTTGTTGCGCATAAATTAAAATAAAACCTTACAGTATCAGATAATGATTTTTAAAAAATAAAAATAAGATATTAGTCATGTGCCGCCTTAATAATGCAAAAAAAAATATTCCAAGTACACACTTGTTTCTGAAATACAAACATATTATTCCTTGTTCAGTATGTTACATAAGCTTAATAATAATATTTCAAATGCATGTGTAATTAATACGCCTCACTAGAACAGAAACATCAACGGCAAACTCCTAAACACTAAATGCTGATAGTCATCAATGTACGGCTACTCTTGCCTGAATATACTTAACTTCCTTTTTAACCTTGAAAAAGTATGTCGACGTGAATCCAGCAATTTAATTATGCAAAGATGAGAAAGGCTGTTCATACAGGATTTTGCAGAATATGGAATTGAAATGAGAATGAAATGTATGTGCAAGAAAAATTAATTTTTTTCCTTCGATATTTCAGAACTTTAGTTAACGCAATTTATGTAAGTAGATGGTTACATTCACTCATGCTGCATATAAATGCGCAGACGATGCATAAATGTACTTTCTCACTGAGAAAAGACTACGTTTATTTATTAATAAAACCAAAATCAACGGTAGAGCGGTAAAATAGCTGAACACTGATAACTTGTCCTGGCAAATGGGCACATGGGAGTTTTTTGGGGTTTTCCCATCTGTAACGTGGATACGAGCTAGTTCCTCTTAGAAAACCGTCGATGAAGGCATCCTTCCATTTAGGCATATAACCCCTGACCTAAATAACAATTCTTTATGGATGTTGCAAGTACATACCTGATGTCCTTCACGTTTCAGGTATGATTAAAAGGCGTGACAAGCTAAAACCAGTTTAATATTTTTGCATAAGAATTAACCAAAGAAACTTTATTTGGACTATTTATTTAAATTAAGAAAGGGGCAATTCAGTGTCTACTTAACTACCCGAGAATAAACTCAGTCCCCCCTTCTCCAAGTATTCATGCATCTAAAGTTAAATTCAGTCTCCAAATTATGACTTCTGTAAGGTAAAATAAACTAAAATTAAAAAAAAAAATACTTTTGTTTTTGAAACTTGCAGTATTAATTAAAACATTTATGGAATCAAGACTCTAAATCTTGCCTTTATATACTAATTTAGTTTTCATTCTATTCTCATCAGATAATTTTGTTCTGTGATATAACCATTCAATTTTAGCAGCTTTTCCGCTGAAATTGTAGAAATAATAGCATAAATAAAAGCTAAAATGAGTATGATAATTTTTTTAAATCCTAATCTCGACGTTTTACCATCAGATGCTGGAGATACTGAATCAGCAAGAATCAGAGTAAGTTGCATAAATCTGCAGGACTAGTTTCGGAGGCCTGAATAGAACCTTTTCCTTCAGTTGCAGGAGAAAGAAACTCCTGCAGCTGATGTAAAAATTTAAGATAAATGAATATATGCATAGGAACAGGCCGTTTTGAAATTGATGAAATCCTCGGAAATTTTGAAAATCTGATGACCTTTATCCCATTTCTTCAAGATCAGAATGACATTTTTTCATTCCTCATTACGCAGATATTAAACTTAGTTCTTATATTTTTAAAATCTTAAGTGAATTACAGCCACTTTTATCAGTTGTATTACATTATCTTGAGGTCGAATAAAAATGGCTGAAAATATGAGTGTTCAACAGCATTATCTACTCGATATCTGCTGGAACTACATTTCATTTCATTGAAAATTAGTTACAGCTTTCTATTCTTCAGGATAGCACCAGTGGCCGCGAATGCATCTTTTCCCTTATTTAGACAGCCCTCATGTGCTTTGCGATATTCCAATAATGTGATCTATTCTCCAGGCATGCAGATATAATTTTAACATTTTTTAAAATTTTATCTAGAGTATGCCGTATACCATGGTAAGAGTGGAAGATTATTTAACTGGCAATCAGAGATACGAAGGATACTGTGTAGATTTGATTCATCACATCTGCCTTCGGCTGAAATGCAAGTATGTATACGAAATCGTGGCAGATGACAACTATGGTAATAAGCAGGAAAATGGAACATGGGATGGAATGATCGGGAAAGTAATGAATCAAGTAAGTACCTTCTTAATCCTAGTATCTTTATTTCTAAAATATTTTCATGAAATACTATCGGACACTATATCTGTGTGTATCTTAATTCATAAAAAGTGTTTGCGTATTAGATTTTATCGTCAATAGTATTTTATTGTTGGTGACTAGTTAAATGGAAAACTGTGATTTATCCGCTCAATTGTTATGACAAAATTAATGATTGCCGACAGCATTTTAAGCATAGGTGCAGTAGTTTCACGCAGTTAAATTATATATAGAAATAATTAAAAATTTAAATGTAATGTTATATAATTTGTATGATAATCGCAAAATTTTGGGGCTGCTAAATTTAATTTTTTTTTTTGGAGGCGGTTACTGCAGAATGACTATTATTTTTTATTTTGATATATTATTTTCTGTCGATCAGACCGACATTAAAGGTGCTGGAGACGACTTTTGTACCATGAGTATCAAAACGTAAGCACACTTTTATCTTATATACGTTTTCAAATTCAGTTTCAATCGCTTGGCATTCAAGGAAATTTTTCCACATATTACATCAGTTCATAGTGTGAACGTTCAGAAATTCTGAATTGTGTTACTATACTATTTTGTAAAGCATTTATTTTAACCAAACGTAGTACTATTGTTTAGCTGAGATTTGAAGAAATGCGCGGTACACCAGTGACGGATTTTATTTTTTAAATAACTTTTTTGAGGTTCTTTGAGTTGCTAAGCTCCGTTAATTTGTTCGATCTTAATCTTGCGATCCTTTACAGTATTTAATATTTAAGCAATATTTAAGGAACTGTAGACAAAGCTCTCATTGACTGGGAAGTAGCCTTACGAGTAAAAGAGCATTTAGAATAATCTAATGTAGATAAATATCTGTAAAATACAAAAATTAGAATGAAATGTGAGAAACCTTGATCCCATTTTTATGGCAGTCTTGTAGTTTAAGAATACGATTGCTAGGAGCATCAATAATGTTAATGAAACTAATAATGAGTAACAAGAATCGGCATGAGGAAATTTGCAGAACTATAGTTTCGACCGTTAAACAGGACCTTCGTCTTTAGCTGCGGGAGTGAAAATAACACCAGAGGAATATACGCCGATATGAGAAACAACTGACAAAACATTTCGAGTAGTTTATGTTGAATAATAGAAAACAAAGTCACTGGCACCATGTGTTGACAGAAATGGAAAAGAAAAGCAACTAGGAAATAATTTCTTGAAATGCTGACTAAAAGGGTATAAGAATTGGGATCATTAATCAAAACTCAGAGATTTCTACGGATGTATTTTTCTGAAAATCTAGCTCAATAAAGAAAGACATTTTGGGATAATTCTGACAATAAAGAACCGAAAATGGGATATTTTGACTAACAGTGATATGCAAGGGAGGATTTATGAGTTTCTTTTTGCTTCACACAAGTCTCACACTCATTAGTACGGAAAATATCAGCAAATTTAAGATAAGTGTGCATAATATGAAAGCAAAACTGCTGACAAAAGTCAATGCATTATATTAAATTCAAATTCAAATTTTAAACTGTTATTAAATCTAATACAAAATTTGAATTATAAAAATATTTAAAAAAAGCTCATTAATAGTTAAAAGTAGTGAATATTAAGATTTTCGAAAGAAATCAATAATAGAAATGTCAAAGAGCATTATTAAATCAAAGAGCATTATTAAAATGTCAGAACGGCAACTGCAATCGCACTTTTGTATAAACAATTTGGCACAATAAGCTAAGTTATGTCAAATGTGATACGAAATTTCTTCAATAATCTGCGTATTTGAAAATATCGTTTTTGTTAATTTTATTATTTTCATATGTTTGTATTATTTTCCAGTTTGTTAAACCACATTTTGAATCTGTAATTTAGTAGGCCACGATTCACAATTTTAATGAAGATATTTAAATGTTTTCGTGTAGTATACTTTGTAAGGATTATGTTAATTTTATTAACAGTTAAATTTTAAGTTATAGTTACTTTCCTGTCAAATTCTTAACTTCAACTTACTACTTCCGGCCAGAACGTAGTTTTGGAAATTGCTGAATATTTAATGAGAAGGAGCGGTATTTAAACCACGAAGTTACTTACCGAGACAGAGAGAGAAACAGAGTTTCTGAACTACGCGCGTCTGCCTTTTTGGCCGCTCTCTCTCTCTCAAAGCTGTTATACGCTCGGCCGTTTGAGTTGACACAGTTGGTACTCTGCTAGCACACCGGTAAGGTAAGTTCTAAAGAAGATTGACGTGTGCACATAAAGTTGAAGGCTTGGTGGTGGGGAGCTTTTGTTTAACAACTTGTGGGGGTGGCCCCTGAGTGAAAAGCTTTTGAAAAGGTTGGATAGTCAGTAGGGGGGACGAAAAGATGATCGTGTTTAATCTGGTCTATTGCGGTGAGCAGATATCTTGGCCCATTGCCCCGATTTGAGTGATAGCTTTGCAGATTTTGGTTATGGCTGGCTTGTGAGTGATGATAAAGCGGTGGTACGCATCTCTGTTCATGGTTGGACATGGGGGGGTGATGGTCTTTTGTCAGCTGGCAGGTGAAAAGATAGTGGTCTGGGTTGCCTGGGGCTCCACAGACGCATATATCTGTTGATGAGATGTTGTGCCTTTGGAAGTAGCTGGGGAATGGGCCGTGTCCCGTGATATATCGTGTCAGCGGAGCGATTACGATGTGTCGATCCGTGCTGACTTTGGGGAAGAATGCACACATCAGTGAAGATCAGTACCTACACCGTACTTGTTCACAGTCATAGTAACTGTGCAACCATTGTGACTGAAATTACTGTGCCTAACATAGTGTCTGCGCTGTAGTCACTGTACCAACCTATAGCAATTGCATTAAAACTTAGTGACTGTGCCAAACTCCAAATTTAGTGCTATTAGTACCACAGTGTACACTAAACTTTAGTGTAGCCTGAACTCTTGCAAATTTGAACAATAGTGCAGACTGTACTTTCAGCGAACTCTAACACTAACTCCTGGCACCATAACTCGACATCCGGTACTAATAGCTTCATCTCTGTGTTTAAGTGCTCACAGCACATTTGCAACCTCAAGGATACCAGCAATACACATATGATTCTATAAGTATTTATTACTCTTGTTTTTACTCTTGTATCTTACATATGTGTCTCTCTTCATATTTATCTTAATATCAATGCATCCTTATGTTCGTATCTGTTAGTATTTGTTTGTTTTTGCCTGTATATGTATCTATTCTTGTATTTGTTTTATATATTTTTATGTATCTGTGTTATTCCAACAGCCATGCACACCCACAAAGTTATTGTCACGCAACCATTGTCAAACAATAATCCTCAGCCCCTGTTTGGCCATGTATTGATCTTTAGATCTGTATTATAAACTCCCGAGGCAGCCTCACGGGGCCCCAGGGAGTTGTTATTCCTAGATAGGGGAGGGCGTGGGACACACGCCTCTTTTACCTATGTTAAACACCAGGCGTCCCCGTCCTCCGTCACCTGTCTCTGTCTCGGTAAGTAACTTCGTGGTTTAACTACCGCTCCTTCTCATTAAATATTCAGCAATTTCCAAAACTACGTTCTGGCCGGAAGTAGTAAGTTGAAGTTCAGAATTTGACAGGAAAGGAACTTTAACTTAAAATTTAACTGTTAATAAAATTAACATAATCCTTACAACTTATCTCTCTGCCCACTTTTATATTCATTTCTTCAGTCATATAAGTGGCGTCAGTTAGCTTTTGAATTTTAATATCATGTAATTTGAATTAAAGAAATACGTATTTTGATCAAATTTGTTTTATTAATGTTATATCACTGTTTATTGATATTTTAAAGACACATTTCATATTTAAATTGGTTGTATTACTTTTTACATTGTAGGCAAGTATACAACTGCATAATTCGTAACACTTTAAATATTACTAAATGCAAATCAAATAATGCATGTGCTACTCACAAGTGCTACTATGTTACCATCATAAATATGCTGATATAAGCCTCATCTTAAAAGCAATAAAAAGGGTAATCATTACCCATAATTTTAAAGTAAATTTCAAAAATGAAAAGATTATAAAGATGCTAATCAATTATCATGGAATAAAACTTTTCCTCATAATATAAGAGAAGAATAGGCACTTCCTATGGCAAATCCAACACTGACCAAGTAGATAGATAACACGACTGAGTATTCTTAATTTCACTCGCATTTAAATTCCAACGAAGAGGGTAATTGCACAGGGTTTTCAAGGTTTGCCCTTAAATAACATAAATACTAGCTAGTTGAAAGCTCTCGACGAAGGTACCTTTTTTTGCCTCATTATGATAAACCACACGCTAGTTTTTGCGCTGAGAGGACTTGACGCAAAATCTTCTGCCTGATAAGCCTAACATGTATTTATTCTACACGCGAGGATCAGAAGTATGAAATATCCATATATTTAGTCCTTTCTTTTAAAGTGAATCGGATTAGAGGTGCAGCTACAAGGAATAGGGTTTTACAGACTATTTTTGAAAGTCCATCTAACGTTATGACAAAGTCCAACTGAATTACTTAGCTTTCTGATCAAGGCATAAGCTATAACATTTCGCAGGCTTTATTTTAATGAGGATAAAAAAATCTTTGAATAACTGACTTAAGTCTTACTAACAGGGGTAAGACAACGGAAATGTTTAAGCGCTGATAAAATCTGTTTATGTCTCGTCTATTTTGCTATCATAAACTAAGCTCGAAGTTAGCAGACTGTTTAGGGAACTATTCCAAAGTCTTAAAGTACGACAAAGTGAGGAGAAGGGTGTTATGAGCCCTTTATTAACTCAAATAAGGTTAACACGTGGCACCAACTCGTGCTTACAGAAGTCAACACTTTTAGCTTAACTCAAAAGATAATGACTAATTTAAAATTAAATGAAGTTAAATTTAGCCTAAAGGCTTCCAGGTTAACTACCGCGCAGGCTGGTTGTGACTCGAAAGTCTGCGTAAATTAAAGTTTGTGTGTGTGTGTGTGTGTGATTATGGCAAAGCCTCGAAGGCTATCTGCCTAAGGGGAAGTTAGCCTTCGTGGAGGACTTTCTAAGGGAAAAGGAGGGACATGTATGTTTACATAAACATGTCCGGATAATTTCCGGTGTTCCATTCGATAGTTTTTCTCCCCTCAAATAAGCTCCAGAGGGAGTTAAAAAAAAAGATTCGGACTGCCAGTTCAAAGTTCACTTCTCTTCCTATCGGCGGAGCGTGGTCACGTACTGGGGGGGGGGTAAAGCAGGCGTTGGCAATCCTGCGTTAGGCACGTGACCTGGGTTTAGTTTTTGGCGAGATGAAAATCTGTTTTTAGAAGGGGGAAGAATTATCATAAATGGGTCAGTTATCTTTGTTCTTTCATTAGAAAAGTTTAAAATTGCGTCTGTATTTTATGTTGATTGGCTTAGTGATCCACTAGATGCTGTGACATTTTCTGAAGTAGGTACAGCGGGATAAAAAAGGATCATATTTATTTAAAAAGGATCATATGATTTACGTTGCCCTACTAAGCAAGCAAACGAAAAATATTTTTCATGATTTATGCTAAAAATATGTTGAGGAAAAGGAAGTAATCTATTTGGTAGTTGATTCCATTTACCAATCCAACAACAGCAACTTAACCTAATCAATCATTTCAGATCCATGCAGTTTTTCCCCTACAAACGATGAAAAATTAAAACATGTGCAATTAGGATTGCAAATCATCTAGCGCTCCCCTCCCTTTCCCTTCTGACTATACCGACTCCAATCACAAGCGAGCAATGCCGGCGACAGTGACTTCAACTGCTACTATTCCCCCCCCCCCCCCACACACACACGCACACAACGAACGGCCTTTCGAAAAATTTCCACTATTTCACACTCGTCCTCCCGCCGCGCACACAAAGGCAATTAATTATACTACCTCAAACTCTAGTTTGAGGAGTCTCTATACTCCTCAAACTCTGACGAACGGAACGGAAGTTCCCCCTTTCACGTTTGCCATTCCATGCCCTATTTCAAGGTCATTCATGGACACAAGGTGCGCATATCACCATTTCGCAAATATAACCAGATACTACTGTCCTCGTACCAAAACCGAAGTGAGCTGAACTCTCATCGATCATCCAGTAACGAATACCGAAATACCGAGAACAGATTTTCGTTACAAAGTAGCGAATACCGAAAAGCACCCGTTTCGGTACAGAAGTAACGAATACCGAAAACTACCCGTTTCGGTACAGAAGTAACGAATACCGAAAAGTACCCGTTTCGGTACAGAAGTAACGAATACTGAAAAGTACCCGTTTCGGTACAGAAGTAACGAATACCGAAAAGTACCCGTTTCGGTACAGAAGTAACGAATACCAAAAAGTACCGATTTCGGTACAGAAGTAACGGGTACTTGGATGTACCGATTTTCAGTACCCGTTACAACTAAGTACCCGTTACAAAATACCCGGTTCGGTAGTACCGACTCATCACTATCAGCGACTTTACCGCTCGGCCGCTGGTGGGCAAGTCGGCGTAAATAAGCTTAACAGTAAGAAGTGCACAACGGCACAGAAATCTAATCGCTAGAGAAAGCAAGATAGCAACGTAGGCAGAACACGTTCTAATTTCACGCTCTAGATCATTTTACAATCTGGCAAGAAAGTGTGAGTTGAAAGCAAGAGCGACAGTAAAGTTACTTCAACATAAAATAACTGTTAAACAAATTTAATAAATCCCCACAATTACGTAAGAAAAATTGTTACAAGTATAAAATTCCGAAAATGTGGAATCATTTATTATAAACTGGAAGATTCGTTTTATCTGGCACGTTATTTTTATGTTACTTCTTTTCTGTAACATCTATTTCTTTCGCCAGTTTTTACCAACGTGCAAATTCAGTTTGGTCTAAATAGCAAACAAACTTGTAGTTTGTTTAGAGAGATAGTTTTGCCAATTAGCCCAAGGATCGGCAACTCGTCCACTTGCATGCCAATCTGGATTAGTGATTTCTTGTAATTGTTAAGCTAAATTCACACTGGTGCGTTTGCAAGAAAAGCGATAACGCGAAAATGAACGCCAACGTCTGTGCAGACTGCAGCAAAACGTTTTGTTTTGAAAGATGTTATTTGAGTGGGATACACGACTCTTCATATAGGATAATCAGTCAGAGGATAGACAAAGCAGTGTGATTATTTGTTCGTATAGTCACATAAAACTAACTGGAAAAGTGGCCAAAAGCTGAAGCTGGATCAACTCAGGGAACCTCCAAAATATCGCAACAGAACTCGTTTCTGATTGGCTTTCTGCTTTCACATTATCGCGCTAGCCTTTACATGTTAGTCTTTAGCGCTTAGGGCTAGAAGAGCTGGATAGTTGGAACCGGGCTGATTTGGTATTGAAGTTACTTGTATTTCAAATATTGTTTAAGTATTTGTATCTCGATAACATTTGTATCTCGAGCATGTAACGATGGATAAGCTATCATACATTTTAAATGCGTTTGCAACACGTAGTTTTAATAAACCTTTTAGTTAAATTTTATTTGTCGGTATACGAAGACCAGAATTCGTCGGAAGCATAGAAAAGTTAAACAAGATGAAAGTTGTGCAGTTAAATATGTATACTTTACAAATTATTTTAAACACTTTTTTTTCGTTTAATAAGGCAATGTGTGTAAAACAATAAGATAGAATAAACATGTCATATAAAAAAAAAAGAACCAACTTGCATTATAAGAAGCTGCCTAAAATTTTAAAAGCAGTAATCATTTCAAAAACTTTTATTATTTATTGTATTATAAGCTGTAACTTAAAATGCACATATTATGTTAAAATGATCTATATAATTATTTTCCTTCTATTAATATGCACCTGCATGTAGATAAAACACTATATATCTTTTCAGGAAGTGGATCTTGCAATCGCCGACTTAACCATAACTGTGGATCGCGAAAGCGTAGTCGATTTCACTATGCCTTTTATGAACCTCGGAATCAGTATTCTTTTCAAAAAGCCGACAAAGAACAGTCCGCAGCTATTCTCGTTCTTGGCTCCATTTTCATTTGAAGTATGGGTTTATATGGCGACAGCATACTTAGGAGTGAGTCTGTTACTATTTGTTCTAGCTCGATTTTCTCCATACGAGTGGGTGAGCCCTCATCCATGCAACCCAAAGACTGAATATTTGGAAAATACATTTTCTCTTCTAAATAGCTTCTGGTTTACAATCGGGTCCTTGATGCAGCAAGGCTCTGATATAGCGCCTAGGTATTTTTTGCAATTTTTGTTTAAACAGTAATTAAGTTTAGTATATATATTTATTAACATTGATATTTTCTTTCCTTGTTCGTAAATTTTAAAAACCCATACAGCCCACTTGTTAAATTAATTTTAACTATTAAGTCCAGAACAAAATGAAATTTTTCTTAAAATAGAATTTCCATTTAGTTTAGTCGTGTAAACTAAGTTTAAAATTAGCAAAAATAAGGTAAAACACTAGAGGCAAGCTCTGTATATTTAAATATATATGTTTAATTAATTAGCATACACCTGACATTAGACATCTAAAAAAATTTAATATACGTCATTACAATTTTAACTGAACCATCTAAGAAAGAAAACAATATGTACCTTGTATAATTAATTTGCACCTTATGCATTTACTTGTCTATTAAAAAGTTTAGACAGAAATTCAGTTTTCAAGAGATCTCTCAGATTGTCAGATGAATCCTGACGGACGAAAGCACTCTGCAGTTTGCAATAGAGTAGATGTTTCTGATTTTCCATATAACGCTTAGTTGTTTTGCGTCATGTATTTCCCCTACGAGCAACTTCTGCGTGATGAAACAGATTTATTAATAAGTTAAATGCAAATGAGCAAAATTGCCCAAGATGGTAGAGCAATTAACGGAGGTTGATAGCTTGTCCAAAGCACAGGGTTAACGAGTTCGACTTCCATGTTAAGTTTGTTTATTTGAGCACTGTCTGTCTCTTCACTTTAAGAATGAAATGTTAGTCGCTTTTTGAGGTGCACTCCGGGCAAAATGTTTAGTGATGAGAGAGAAAAATGAAGGTAAGTTCGCCATAAGCCACGAACAGTGCTTAATCGGCAGGTATCTGGTCGTTCCTGCCCCCCCCCAAATATTAAAGAACAGAAAATTTTGTCTGGAATTATATTTATTTGCTATCGCAATAATTAATTTTATACTATTTAGAAAAATTACTGTTTAAATACGCAACGAAAAAAATTATACATGTGGTAAGCATAGTTTTTAGTGTGAGTTAATTTAAAGACCAAACATGTAGCATTAAGAATTAAAATTAATTTAAGAATTACTTTTCAATAATATCATTTTAATAACGATATATTACATAGCTTTGTTTGAGATATTTTTTTACCGTCTTATGATTCAACTGCTTTTAATAGGGCGACATCAACCCGAACAGTGGCAGCACTGTGGTGGTTTTTTACGCTCATCATGATATCTTCGTACACAGCAAATTTAGCTGCATTTTTGACTTCTGAGCGTATGAAAAGCCCAATCGAAAGCGCAGAAGATCTAGCACGGTCAGCTGACATATCATATGGTTGCGTCAAAGACGGCTCGACAAGACAGTTTTTCGAGGTAATTTTATTTAATGAATCCCCCCCTTTTATTCGCTCGTAGCTGATTGAATTTGCTTAAATCATTCTCAAATTTTCAGAAATCTACTTTGCAACCATATAAAAAAATGTGGAGTGTTATGCAATCTGCTCAACCAAGCGTATTCACGAATAATAATGAAGAAGGCATAAAAAGAGTAAAAAAAGGGAATTACGCATTTCTGATGGAGTCGACAACTATTGAGTATCATACAGCGAAAGACTGCGACCTAACTCAAATAGGAGGCCTTCTCGACTCAAAAGGTTACGGAATTGCTATGCCCATTGGTGAGAACAACAAATTAAATTTAATATAGTTATATGCAACTATTATCATATAATGTATATATACTATAGTATATTTATTCAGAAAAGGAGAAATAAAATACAGAGAGACAGGTAACTACAGCACTCGAAATAGAAAAACTTTAGATAAAATGACAAAGAAAAGAGGTTTCGTATGATATACATATCTGGTAACCAGTGGCTTAACTAGAACTCTTGGGCCTTTATGAAAAAATATCTCTTGGGCCCCGTAGTACCATGGCCTTCGAGAACAAAGGTTTCTCGAAGGTCACGGTAGTACTCCCCCCCCCAAAAAAAAATCGATGTTGCCAGGAGCCAAAATTTTTGTAATGATTTTCATCAGATTTTGATTAATAATTTAAAAATGGTATGGACACTGCATGACTTTCTTGTACGGCCTATTAAATTATACACATTTTTGGCTGCTCTTCAATTAAACTTATTTCCTCGAATGATTCTAATTTATTTAACCGATCTCTGCAGGCAAGAAGAAAATGGCATCAAAAATTGCTAATTTTCAACTAAATATCCCGGTCAGTTTTTGTTGCACTGAAGTCAAACTTCTTGTAATTTATTTTTTCATGAGTATAAAACTATCCCAAATATAAGGATCCGGAGACCGGAGGAAAATTTAAATTTCGTTTTATGTCGAATTTTTCCCCTATAAATTTGACATTGCCAAAATATTTTTCGTCATTTAAAACGCTTCTGAATGGAAAGCTATGACTACGACCAAAGACTGCGAAAATAAAGGTAAGGAACTTTTAAGCCTGATAAGGGCAGGGATATATAGAGTGAGAGAGAAAAATAGATATTGACAGTTGCAATAAAAAAGCGAAATGTGTAACTAGATATTTCAGCAGTCCCATATACAAAATTTAAGCGTTCTACGGCTAATCGTCTTTGAGTTATGTGAGATATACACATCTCACATAACTACACATCTCACATAAGATACATATGTATCTCTATCTATCTCTCTATATATGTAATGATAGCATAATTTTGGAAGCACTGATGTACGAACACTGAGACGTAGAAGCGTAGCAATGTTTTTAGCATAGATACTTAATCAATATTAAAGAAAAACAAGTCGAGCTGAATTAATTTCCTTTTTTATTTAAATTCCCATTTGTGGCCCCAATTCACTTGGCACTCTACTCGTGCCTATTTCCAGAACGTTTACATTTTGGATACTATGGCCACAGAAGCGAGCATAGATGATTGCAGAAGCTTCTTATCAGGATGAACGCGTAAGCGAAAAGTGACAGAGGAATTCAGAAGAAGAAGGGAGGGAGTCAAAAGTTTCAGTTCGAGTTAAAAAAAGCTTTGAGCAATTATTTGATTGGGAAAGAGGTATCTGCATTATGCGTTATGTAGGATCGCATGATTAATTTGAATGAATCATTTTAGACTTTTAGCGCTATTTTTAAGATAGAGAAATGAAGTCCCCAAGTGAAATAAAAAATAAAAGTGGTTATAGCCGATTAAAATTAGAAGTTTGCTTTCATATTTTTTATTATTATTGTACGTATCTGTGAATGTCCCGAAACAATCCCTTTTGAATCCATTTTAAACCCATTTTGGGAGGAAGAGCCTTTTATTCTGTCCGTACGTACAGAAGTTGTAGAGACATTAGGTTAATTGGAAATACCGGAGAGATGAAAAATGAGCAATCGCCTTCGCCGGGAATCGAACCACGGACTCTGGAATACCGGCCCAGTGTGTAGAACCACTACATCACGAAGGCACGCTAGGAAAGCGGGAGAAATACCTTATAAAGTAACCAAAAAAACGTCCAAATGGATTTGAGAATGGTCAAAATGGATATTTCCATTTAAATATGATACCCGACTTTTTAGTTCCATTTAAATATGATACCCGACATTGAATTCAACTTTCATGAAGGCACTTTGCCCTTGGCCATAGTATTTATAAAAGAATTCGACTTCTTTTAAATTTAACCACGTGAATGTAGTTCAGCAGGACATTCAAGGCCCCCTAAGCCTTCGGGCCCCTATGCGGCGGCATTCTTTGCATACCCTTATTTACGCCACTGCTGGTAACTAAGCGGTATCAAAATAGCCCCAAGATCAACTGAAAATAAAAATTAAAAAATTACGAAAATCAAACCTGCCAAAGCATGCTTTCATTGTAAGAAAAAGCATGCTTCGGCAGGTTTGAGAAAAAGGAATGTAACTCGGCAAGATTAAAAGAAATGCTTTAATCTGGTCATCTCTAAGTAAATCAAAAAACGAAAAGAATACCAAAATATATTAAGAAAATACACAGCCTAAAATTAGGCAAAACAGCAACATTTGGGATAAAACTCTATCGACTATGAGGGTGATCGAACATATGTTACTCTTCATGAGGAGCAACAAAAATTCTGCCAAAATGTTCAGTTCCAGTTCCAGTTCTGATGTTAAGCCGCGAGTAATTTGCAAATTTGCTCGCTTTGTTCCGGCTGTCGTCACATAAGTTGCTACTACGAGCGATGCAGTGAGTTGAATGCTGACGGTGCGTCAGGAGGACAAACTAGGAGGTGGAATGGCAAAATGTGGAATTGCAATTCCATTCCATTTACCGCTGTTATACTGGGCCCAGCCTGCATGAATTTGCAGGCGTTTTGCCAGTTGTCTTCTTATATGGCATCCTGAAAGTAAATATATCTATAAAGGTGTCACAGAAACACGATGTGAATAATAAAAGTGGCACATTGCCACTGTAGAATTTTACTTCGTGGGGTGGTGTAACATACAGTTCAAGTACAAGATGAGTTAACATACATTAAGAAGGTACTAAAGATAATTTCAAATAGCAAAAATCATAGTTCCTCAGATGAATGCAAAATGTGACGATCAATGACTGTGTTTATATCGAAAGCAATTACAGGAGTCAAGCGCACATGGACGCAGCGCCATCTGTCGAGTAAAATGGTAATGAAACATGAAAATGTAAGATGTTAGTCTTCTAAAAGCGATAGAAAGGACTGGAATGGTATTAATATCATCAGAAAATAAATGTTTGTGCATATGAAAAGTTTCTAGAAAATATTGAAGTTCTATTCACCAACCCTGTATGTTCACTTGTATGAAGAGGGACGTATATCTATTTGGCCTCGAAATCGCTAGAGTCTTGAGTAAAATCTACTCCCAACACAACGTTGTTGCTACACAAATTTTATGTTTTACCCTTTGGCGTGTTTTACTTCTGCCTTGAAATGCGAGAACAATTCTTAACACGTTCAAACAGTGGTACACAAGTGGAAATAGAAGACAACTTAAATTTCAATTTTTAAGTACTTTCATGCCTTCTTATTCATAATTTTACTTTTCTTGATTATTGTCTCGGCAGCCAGTTTGAAAGCCGCGGCTCTAATAATTAACTAATTATAAAAATAACAACAAAACAAATCTGCCTCACAAATATGCTACATTTCTTAATACATAATAGCAAAATAAAAAAATTAATAAAATGCGTGGTTCATAATGCTGAAATGCACAGTTTGTGCTAATGCTAAGAAAAACAGTCATGCTTATAATTCAAGAGTGTATTATAAAATGAGAAAGTCTAAGACAAAACAAAGACATCACTAAATTAGTTGAGCTTAATATTAATTTGAAATATATGCCTTCAGCTCACACGCATAATTATGTCCATAGAATAAAGTATTCTTGAATTCTCTATAAACATGATTGGTGTTAAACATGCGTTCGTGACTAATATATGTTTGATCAAGTTTATACGAGTTGTTGATTCCTTAATCAGAAACACTGATTTTTAAAAAACCCAGAGAAAAAAATCTTAGAGCTTTGGTTCTGTAATCGTGGCGGTCATTCCATTGCACTTCCATGTTTAAAAATATTATCTCCAAATGTACTTCTCAAAATATTGCGTGGTACTGTGAATTTACGTGCTGGAGCACAGTCATGCTGTAACCACATAGGTGACAAATCATTTAGTGAAATATTATCTTCTAAGAAGTCAAACAGTAATCCATTTAAAATACAAGGTGCTCCCGTAAAGTAGCTGAACAAATTAAAAGACCGAACGATAAAATAAAAAAAGCGAAAGAGCAAATGTATGTTCAGAAAGAGTGCCATCTCAGCTTAAAGCTAGTTCAAACTCGCTGTTTTGTCGTTTGCGTATCAAGACGATGGAGTCATTTTGATTTATTGAGAAAACATCGAATAAAAATTTGCTTCGAGATGGAGAAAGACTTTTAACATTCAATTTTGTTACAAATTCGGTAAATCTGCTACCGAAACATTAGAGATGATTCGAACAGTAAATGGTGATGCATCTTTGTCAAGAACACAAGTGTATGAATGGTACAATCGCTTTAAATGCGGGCACGAAATCGTTAAAGATGAACCAAAGACAGGGCGCTCTTCAACTGCAAAGACTGCGGAAAATAGAGAAAATTCTTTATTTGGCAAAAGCTGATCGACATGTAAAAACTCAGCAAATTTCTGACATGCTTGTGATAGCTAAAGAAAGCTTAAAGTTAATTTCAGTAGAAAATCTGTAAATGAGGAAAATATGTACTAGATTTGTGCTTCCGATTTCTACAGAACAGCAAAACGAAGATAGAAAAGCTAGCTGTGAAGATTTACTAACTACTGGGAGTAGGACAACTGCTGGTTTCTTATAGTGGAGCGGGAAATGAGAGCGGGCGCCTACGAAACGACTCAGAAATAATATGAATGTACAGGTGGAAAGGAGAGTCTACTCCAATACAAAAAAAAATAAAGGCCCGGATATCGAAATCAAAGACTAAGGTGAAGCAGATTGGATTTTTTGTTTACAAAGGACTTATTCACCATGAATTTATACCTGAAAATCAATCAATTAATCAGTATTTTCACAAGGCTTTTTTCATTAAGATACTGGATAAAGTAAGCTAGGAAGGAATTTTTTTATTCTGAGCAATGGTTTCTTTTACATGACAATACAGCATTATCTGTACAAAGTATCGCATCTGACTTGCACAACGAGTAGCCACGCTGTTAACAAAAGAATTCAAGAGTGCCTGTGGATGTCGCACCCACCCTTCCACTACAGCAGTTTTTAACACCTAAATGGTTCTAGTTAGAGTATGGCGTATTGCAGTAGTCCTCCGAAGAACATCCTAAGTATGTTTAATAGGATTAAGGTCAGGAGGTCTGGCTGGCCAATCCATTCGGCGAATAGCCTCGCTTTCCAAATAGCCATCCACAAGGTGGGCCCTATGTGGTCGTGAACTGTCGTTCATAAAAGTGAACTCAAGGCCAACAGCACCCCTGAAATGTCGCACATATGCCTCTAGGATTTCCTGCCTGTACCTCTGGGCATTCACGGAACCAGTGTTAAATACATGGAGCGGTGAGCAGGTTTCTTACATAATCCCTACCCAAACCATCACTCCTCCTCCAACATAATAGTCCCTTTCCATGATGGAGCAGGTTTCTTACATAATCCCTACCGAAACCATCACTCCTCCTCCAATATAATAGTCCCCTTCCATGATGTTGCTGAGATAGTATCAGTTCCCAGGTTTCCTCATATCAATAATCGGCAAGAATCAGGTTGTAGACTGAATCTGGACTCATCTATGAAGAGAACATTAGCCCACTGAAGCAGTGTCCAGTGTTGCTGTTGTATGCACCATTGTAAACGCTCTCTTTTGTGGGAAGAATTGGCTGAGATGCAAATAGCGAGCTTTCTGGCATATAGTCCTGTCTCATGGATCTTTTGGAAATTATCTTCCTTGAAAGTCATGTTCCTGAGCGAGGTCACAAGACAGTTGTATGGCAGTAGACATCCTTTGGAAATTTACTGAAAATACCAAATACCTGTCGAAATTGGTCGTTATGGCTCTTGGTTGACCTTGTCCTGGTCTTCTGGACACCGCCTCGCTGTTTGTAAACTAAACTTAGAGATTACACGTGGTGTCACAGTCCTCATGAATAGGATGCATTTTTTTCTAAAGTGTATAATTTTACGAATAGAAGTGGGAGAGTTTGGACTTACTTCCGATAGGAAGAAAGTCTATTCTTTCAGGGTTTACTTTAGGCCGAACCTCGCAGAACACAGGTAACACTTTATTGAGACTATAATTGTACTAGCTAAGTATTTGTAATTGACGCCCGCGTGGTAAGTTGTAGAAAAGTTATTGCAAGATTCTTTTATTTTATGTAACGTAATTTGGTGGTATAAAGAGTTGCGAAAGATAAAGTCGTAACGGTGAAAAGACCATGTGATTATGATGTATTAGATAGAAGCATGTTAGCCCCAGGCAAGGAAGTGATCGACTAGAATAATGTAGGCGCTTAACAGACGTGTTAAAGGCGACTGTCAAGCCGAACGCTTTATTTGATGGAACAGGATCCATATTGCACTTTTTAGAAGAAATTGAAACTGATTTTGCGTTGTACGCTACACCGGTGTTCCAGAAGGTAGTGATAGTCCCATCTATGTTAAAAAGGCAAGCTTTGAACTGCTATAAATTTATTCGGAAAACGTTGTTATTCACTTTCGGTGCGCCGAATTATTCGTATGAATCTTTTAAACAACTCTTTTGAAGGCATTCCTGCCCTTGAAACAGGGTGGAGTTGTATAATCGATTTCAAACGGAGGGCGAGGAATTAACTAAGTTTATATTACGAAAATTAAAACAATGTAAGTTATTGTACGGGAATGAATAAGAGCGTAAAATCTTGGAGATAGTAATCCCGCTATTGTTCCAAATGTACAAGATTTTTTTCAAATTAAGAAGCCCTTAAAGCATATAAATGACTTGTTTCAATTAGCAACTAAATATGAAAGTAGACATATAAAGGTGGAATATCGAAAGACTCGGAGGGGGTATCCGAGAAACTATGAATATAGGCCTGTTGAGAAAAGCTGGAAAGTTCTGCCATAGAAGAAAAATGATGGAAATCGGCACGGGATTGAAAGAAAATCGCAACAGAAAGAATTTAGAAAAAAGATGGCACCGATAAGAAGAGTCACAGTTGTAGAGACATTAGATTATTTCGAAACAGGAGAGATAAAAAAAAAGGCAATGCCTTTGCCGAGAATCGAACCGCGAACTTCTCAATCACGCGCTGAGCGTGCAGACCACTACACCACGAAGGCGCTCGTCAAGAAGGTGGTAGAAATATCTTATATATTCCCCCTCTTTAAAGAGCGACTGGGGTTTTTAGGGGACCGAATCGCCAAATCCTGGGTGAGGAGAATTATCATCCAACACCCTTTTAGTTCGGGCGCCAATGTAGAGACATTAGGATTATTTTTGGAACCAGGCAAAATGAAAAATTAGCAAACACCTTCGCCGGGAATCGAACCACGGACCTTTGGAATACCGGCCAGCGTGCAGAACTACTACACCACGAAGGCACGCTAGGAGCTGTTTATCTTAGTATACTCATTAAAACTGTACTCATTTCATCCATGGTTAATGTTGCCATGTTTTGTAACTTACTTTTTTGCAAGAAATGCACTTCCAAAATAACGTCAATTGTAAGCTTTTTAAAACCAAAACGACCATTTTTGAGTTTCATTTTAAATTTTTGTGTTTAATTGATCAGGTCAAGAAATTTTACGATAGCGAGGATATGCCATTTCTGAGAGAAAACGGAATCCAGGCAGAAGTAATGGATAAGGTTTAAGAAGGGTTAAAGAATTTGAGAAGAAAGGTTAGCCCTGGGAATAGAAATGGTGAGGAGGTGCAGAGAGCCGGTTGATGAAAAAGTGCCAATGGCAAAAAAGTTGAGAAACAAGGAAAGGCAGAATAAAGGGCTAAGTAAATCTAAGGAATCGGAGGGCTGGGAGCCTTGTGGCAGCGGTAAAAATGTAGTGCGGCGAGAAAATTGGCGTAGGACGGCCAACCATAAGCCAACGCAGACGTGGCAGTACGGTGACAAGGCCGAAAAAAAAACAAGAATTCTGGCTGGTGGAAGGAAAAACTCAAGCTGATGAAAAGACTTCAAAAATAAATTTAATTACAGTGGTTTTAGGATTGCCCATAATATTTCTAACCTTCTAGTATTTTTTCGTTTTTAATGAAACTCTTTGGATGTTTTATTGGGGGGATGTTCCATAAAGTTTGTTTTAAGTTATTTTAAATTATGTTTTGAACACTAGGTTTCTTTTCTTTTTACCTTTTTTTCCTCTCTCAAATGTTTCGAGACTCCAAAAAAAAACTTTAAAAATTTTAAGTTTCTCAATATCTAAAATATGATCGGTATTTATTCAACTCATGTTAACAACCTAGTCCCTGAACTTTCTAACTCTGAAACTCTTTTTTTGCAGGGTTCCTTTGATAAAAAATGGCTGCTAGAATAACATATAACAGTTGTACTGCAAATCACCAATACTTTTTTCAATCTTAATTTCGTACTTAAAGATAAGATATTTAAACAATTTCTTTTATTTATTTGGTTTATTTAAAGGTATTCACCATAACAGATTTAGTATGATATTTAGAACAGAAGGCAATAAAAATATTTAGTTTTTGAGTCATAACTGAATTTTTATTACTAAATAGTTAAAAGCTTCCTAAGCCTCAATAGTTTTATGGGTCACTGTATAAGGTATTTCTCCCGCCTTCTTAACGAGCCTTCGTGTTGTAGTTGTCTGCACGCTCGGCGCGTAATTGAGAGGTCCGCGGTTCGATGTCCGGCGAAGGCGTTGCTAATTTTTCATCTTGCCTGCTTCCTAAAACATAACCTAATGTCTCTACAACTGTATAATAATTTAAATGTTTTCTGGCTGTAAAATTAATAGGAGAAAGCTTGGGAATATAAAAGTAAATACAGTATACATTTTTCAAAAAAAGTTAGAGTTCAAGGTTTAAACTCTTTCCTTATCAGTAGCATTATTTAATTTCTTTCATTCACAGCACGTCACTGACATTTTCTCTAATTTATGCGGTAGATTTAAAAGCATGAGTAAAATGTTTTTTCTTTTGGTACCAATTAAATATACTAACTTTTTTTTAAAGTAAAACAATTATAATAATAAATGAAAAATAAAAATTGTAGGGAATAACGATTTCTTTTCGTTTCTATGTCGCTCTCTTTTTTGTTTCGCTTTGTTGCCGGAATAAGGAGTTTATATCTTGACTGCACGTCTAGGGATTGATTAGCGATTGATGATTATCTAGTATATCTAAGAATATTGAATATTTCAAAGTAAAAAATGGTGAGGTATATAATTTCTTATACAATGCGATATAATAAGTTAACCACATATAAATACAACTTATTCTAATCAAACGGAACTGTTTTAGGTTCCCCATATAGAACACATATATCAACCGAGATACTGAAATTGCAAGAAGATGGCGTGTTACATGAGTTGAAGGAAAGATGGTGGAAAAAAGAGGTTAAGTGCAAAGAGGATGTTAAAAAGCCGAGTTCTGCTAATGAATTGGGTCTTCCTAGCGTAGGCGGCGTGTTTGTAGTTCTCCTAGCAGGACTAGGTATGGCTGCCATCATTGCCGTCTTTGAATTTATATGGAGGACAAAAAAGATTCCCCGCGATGAAAGGGTGAGTTTACTTTAGATTTCTTCAGAGCTCACATATGTTCATTATTTCTCCAAAGTGATCATATTGCTTCCTTTTAGTAAATTTTAAGGGGAAAACTTCATGTAATGCAAGGAAAATATTCTGTTTTATCAACCCAATTCAAGGACCAAATATAAATGTTAACTGAACGTTCGAAAGCAAATGCCAATTTCATGTGAACTTTAAATGAAACTTGAAGTTTAAATGTATGATTTAATGTGAAAGCAAAATCTGTATAAAGTTCTGCATCATATACTACTAAAGATTATTTTAATACCAAAAGAAATCGTATGCAAATCTTGCATAAACAATTCTTCTAAATAAAAATTATTCTTCAAAATATCCCAAAGGATATCCTAATGCAGAAAAATTATTAGTTGAAATGTTTTGTTTGAGACCTTACTAATATTCAGCAATATAGTATAACGCTATTTATCATTACACACTAAAACAAACATTTAATTTAAATTATGATTAGTGTAGAAAGCAATGCTTAATCTCAATTGTTTGGATAACAAAATGTGCACTGAGGTTACATTGACATAAATGCTATATTAAAAAAGAAATATTTAAAAATGTTTTATAATTATTTTAAACTTTTAAGTTATTTGATATATATCCTAAGGACAAAATTTTAACAAAATTAAGCCCCTGAAGTCTAACTTTTAATTCGGCAATTTTTTCTCTATCCTAAAACTAGTGAAAGGTTTATAGCAATCTTCTGAAATGCATCATTTCAAAATTAGTCCCTATCATGATTCTCTTACAGTGTTAACGAAGCACACACTTACTTAGCAGTAAAAGCAAAAATTAATTTTTAATCCAATTATAATTAAACCGAAACTTTTATCAGCCGCTAGTAATAATGCGATACAAGGCTATTTACTGAGAAAAGTAATTTCATCATTTTTAATCTAACATCAGTAACATAAAAAAATGTTCTTTTCACTCCTGCCTCTGTCCTGTTACGCTGTAATTCGCAGCATCTTCTTTTTCTCGTAATACTTTAAAATTGTGAAACTTGCATTTGTAATTGAATAGAAGGCATGTCTGTTGAGCCATACGTGGGATGCCTAAAATTTTTTTTGAGTGGTCCGATATCTCAATGACAGCACGGGCTAGGTGCGCTCACATAGACCGGAGACTTGTCGAGAAGCGGCCTGTAGTATGGAATATAGTAGTATGGCAGTAAAAGGATACACTTGTTACAGGAAGTCGAACGTAATCAGATGAGACTGCAATGGAGCAATGAGTGAACATCATTTTCTGCTATAATTTTGAGTACACGGCGATACAGAAGCATGAAATGTTATTGGAAATGCACGAGATGGAATCCGTGAGCAAAAAATATGTTTACGACGTTTCACACGCTTTCGCAACGAAACGATTGAAGATGAGCCATATCCGTGTTCACTGTTGACAAACAGAACTTTCACATGATCAGTGTGTAAGGATCTTAAGTTTTACTAACGTTTATTTTATTTTAAATCTTTACTATCACTTCTTATTTTCTACTTCCGGCCAGAATTATAAGCGTTAAGGTTTTTATGCAAAGTTTGTCTGGCGAACGCCAAGTATTTAAGTTGTGGCCTTTTGCCAAGCGAGAGAGAGGAAGCAGTGAGTTCGAAGCAGGCCGCTTACCTTAGAAGTTACGCAGTTGCTTGTTGCCTTCCAGGCCAGAGGTTTTAATCCTCTTGATAACTTGTAAACGTATTGTAGTGTTCTCAGTTATCTGTACTACATACGCCTTCCTGTTAATATAAGGCCAATCTTCCACGTTTATTAGTTTAAAGTTAAATTAGAGTTTAGTTTTATTTTTATACTTTTACGTTAGACCCCAAGTGGCGGGTCAGTGTATTCCGAAGTACGGAAGTTATTGTATATAGAGAAAAATAAAGGGTTTTGTATACCCTTCATGTGTATCCTGTCTACTTACCACAATTAGTGAACATAGCTTTAGTAAGCTCTCTGTTCCGAGTCAGGTCCTTGTATGTTCCCGAAGAAGGTAAGAAGGAACATTGACCCTGATAAGTGAGCCGACACATGCTGGTACGAGATAGATGCCTGATTCTGCGATTGATGGAGAAGGAAGTGGACTTTAACAAAAACACGGTGAGCAATGATATTGTCTATTAAGATTTAAGTAAATGGAAGATCTGTTCCCAGCTTGTATCTCACAAATTGACAAACAGGCAGAGATCAAAACGGATGCAAACTGCTGGTGATTCATTATCATGTGCGACCATACGAATTCATTCTTTCTGCGAGTCATCGTCAAAGCGAATGAGAATTGGTGCTGCCAGCTCGATCCGTAATCGAAGAGGCAGTCTATAAAATAGCGCTCTGCGTCTTCCGCAATCCAAAAAGAATCGCTCTTTTTCCCAATATACAGCGGAAACTGATGTTTTATTTCAATGCACTGTGATATCACCTGCCACTTTGACTACGTTCGACATCCCACAACGAGTTTACCTTGAGAGTTATGTTGTATGCTTACCTAGATCTTGTTTTGATTATATTGTATGACCACATGCAAGCGCGGACACCTGGTTGCCTTTGAAATATCGGACCAGAGGCTAAATATTTTAGACGCATTCCCTTAATGTTTATATCAGTAATGCTACGCCGTATATAAAGAACTGAATCAAACGGCCATGACTAACTTTCCATCTTTACTGCGAACCATCATAAAAAATCACCAATACCATTTCTTTTCCTTTTCACGTCACTACAGTAAATATCTGTTATGTACATACATATTTATATATATATATATTTGTGTCTATAAATATTTCCTTATTATATATTAATCTACTTGCCTTATCTTTAATTAGGTATTTTACTTTTCTCATTTCAGTTCATCCGTCTCACGCTCGATATATATTTTAATTGAAAACATGACATTTGTAAAATTTACCTTTCAAATGCATTCTGAATTTTCGGGAAGATTTTTTTAGTGCAAATTTGTAAGAAGAGTTCAATTATCGCTGCAGGCATTCTATATATCAAATTTCAGTGAAAAAGATCAATATACCATTTTTCTTCAAGTTGACTATATATAATTTAATCCTTCAAGGTAATAAAAAACATGAGAGTGCAACTAACTAGCATTAAAAAACTAACCAGCAGAACATTAGAATTCTCCATATAAAAAATTCTAGATAAGATGCAACTTAATATTTCACTCATAACTAACATATAAAAACTATAACAGTATTATGTATAATAATCAAATATGGTTACAGAACTATTAAAACATTTTACAATTGGGATTCCCTGACCATTTTTCTAATGAAAGAAATATTGCTTTGCTTCTTTGAAAATATTTGTAATATGTTTGTTTTGCTCTTATTATCATAATCCATTACGAAGGTATAACAGAGAAATGTTAAGTTCCCAATCTAACTTCCTCCTTTTCTCTTTACACGCAAAGCCTTTCTCATAGTGAGAAGCATTTTAAAGGTAAGATTATTTTATATATATATAATATTTGTATTTTTAAATGCGTGATAAATGCTTTCAAAATAACATTTTAATAATTTGCTGTTGACAATTATTTCTGTATGACATTGGAAAAAATATACACATATTTGAAATAATTTGCGAAAAGAATAATAAAAACTCTTATTCTAATAAAGTAATTACTCATTCAGTAAAGGAGCTTTATTATTTACCGTAGACTGTAAATAAATAAACAAGTAGAATATTTCTACATCTTTCAATGTTTCTTAATAAGCACTGGCGAATCTTTAATATTTATTACAAGAATTACATCTTATAAACATTACATAGCTTGTCGTCAATTAAACAGAAGGTTCTGGTAGCTGAAAACAGGTCTGTTAGAGACTGATACAGCAGGATGTCTAACTATGGAGTTATCAAAGCTAAATTTCAAAGTCAAAGAGACCAGTACTGAGTCGTCCACATTTTACAAATGACCCTGATAAGAATTTTGTTGTTATTTCTGCAAGAAGACAGATTTTTTACAATTTTTAAAGTTTCTTAACTAGTAGCTGAGCATTTTGTAATAACAGAAGGGGCATTCGCTGCTACTATTAAAAGAAAAATTGATATACTTATATTTTATGAAAGAAGACCCTTTTGAATTTTCGTAGCCAAATCCATAGAATATTTGAATATTGTAGAATAATAAAAATATAATCTGAGCTATACAGCTGATTATTTTGAGCCGATAACTATATAGATCAGTAATATTAATAGTTAACCCTACCCTAATAATATTAACTGACTGCATTTTGCTATAATTTTGGAGAGAAGAAGGAACCATAAAACTGAGAAAATTACTGAGGTAGCAGTTACACGGTCTGGGCAGACATTTTTGACATTTTTGCATATGAATGCTCAGAGGTATCAGATAAAATTCTTGATAATCATAGTGTATACTAGTGCTGTTAATCATTCTTTCCTTTTAATAAAAGGCTATGTTCGGATTCTTCGACCAACTTAAGTTCATTCATTATTTAATGGCCTTCTCGATTACGTATCAGTCATATGTGAATATTAGAGGGAAACAGAAAGACTGTTCTTATCAAGACCATATTATCGAGATTTTGCTTTGGCCAGAGGAAGATGTATTCAATAATAAGACTTATTTTTCCAATTTTTCCTACAAATTTTCTTTATTGTAAATGAATTCATTTCAATAAAAACTCTGATGCAGTTTATGGAAAACTTTACTTTGTGCGTTTTTAAATCAAAAAGCATAATTTAAAACAATATTAAAACGTAAAGAAAATCATTGTGCTATTTATAAGAATACCAATTTTTTAATACTACATACAAAAAAGTGTTTGTTCCTCAATATTTGGAGCGCAGTATAATGTACAATTTAGATTATGACTTTAATGTAAATGAATGTACTGCTCTCTTCAGCAAGTTCGGATTTCGTTATAAGTTAGATATAAAAAGTTATTTTTTCCTTTTACTTCTGTTAATATTTCATCTTCAGCAATCGCAGAGTATAATTTACGTTATCATTTGCAATCTTAAATAAATCAGAAGCGTGCTGGAAAGCATTTAAGAAATATTAGCGTGCTGGAAAGCCTGGCTCTATAGAAGCATATCAAGAATGCTTATATTGTCCCAAACTGTAAATCTCCCCCTTCCCAATAAAGCCCAGTCATTATCGATGACCTCCTAAGTATGTTCAGAACGATTTCTTATTCCGTCTTCATGCACTTGAACTGGCTTAAAAGTGAAGAAGCATATCAATTTTCTTCTTCTCGACTCTATTAACGAAGACCTCTTCCTTAGAAGCACAGTTTAGCAAGCGGAAAATGTGTAATAGACTGTTATGGGTTACCACATCTAGCGACTAATCTTTACAGGAACATATAGACTTTTCAGAGGAACGAGTTTCTTCCAGCACTAGTTTAAACAGAAGGTTCGTAGCTGAATGTTGTATCTCGGGTAGCTACTCAGGATATTGTACGACGCTGACGAAAATATTTCTTAGCGCATGCTGTGTCTCGCATAGGTCTTTGCTGAATAGCTGATTTACGTGTAAGTCAACAAATTAAATACCATTGAAACTAAGATTCCCTGAATTTCTTTTAAAAGCGTTGTTGAGGGTAGTTATTAAAAATAAAAGTTGTTATAGTGAAAAGACTGGGTCATGCAGTGCACAGTGGATAATTTCACAGTCGAATTGCAGTAATGTCTGGATGGTTTGTAGACATTAGGTTAATTGTAAAAGCCGGAGAGATGAAAAATGAGCAATTGCCTTCGCCGGGAATCGAACCACGGACCTCTGGAATACCGGCCCAGCGTGCAGAACCACTAGACCACAAAGTCACGCTAGGAAGGCGGGAGAAATACCTCATAGGTTGATCGATCTACATTTAGTCTTGTAAAAATCAAATAGCACTGGGTTATAAACACATCGTGAGTTTGCCAAACTGATGATGTGGCTGTTAACAGTATAGTTTGATGATTCTAGTAGCAAACAGAATCAGCAGTTAAAAAATTACGCTATGAATATCATCAAGTACACAAAATTACTTTCTACAAGTGGATCCTTGTGTTGACTGAGACCTAACCAGGCTTCTACCTCTTCATTCAAGTTCACATGACTCTCATAGATGTAGAGGTTCTATGTTTCAACCCGATGGAATGCAATAAGATGTGCACATGGCGGAAAAGTAAGGGCTTCCACACCTCGATTATGAGTGAGCTTGCTTTGCAGCAATGTATACGTATTTTGTAAATCGCATTAATGTAATGCATTCCTAAAATCTCTGCAAGCTGTGCAGAATTAAATTTGAGTCTGTAAAAATCTACTGTCGAAAGACATCCAAAAAAGGCTTTCGGTAAACAAGTTTGATACTGCGATTGTCGTTCCGCGTTTAAACCAGTAACACTTGCATTGCCTTCTCACCGAATACCTCCTAGAATGCAATGTTAATTTCAGAACTCGATGTAACAGAACGCAGCCTGGATTTGAAGCCATAAAGCATACAGATGCGGATTTGCTTTTCTTACTAAAGGCAAATCAAAATTTATTCTTAAAGGATGTGTTTAATCTGTATGCACTTTTTGTGTTGCATTATGCTCTCCGTTTACCTAACACTACAGCAAAAATTACAAGAACATTTTGATAAAGAGATATTTTTGTCGAGTTGTGAAACGACGAGAACTTTTCTAGCAGCTCAAGATTATTCTGCATAGACTGAACTTTGCTTATTCTAGAATTTTTTTATATAATTTAGTGACACATTTGCCGAGATGAAGATTTCCTTTTTCTTTCTAATTATACTACATTAATGTCTTTTTAAGCATAAATTAATTAACATGAATTAATCTAAGCATGAATTAATTTAGTTCTGGAAGAAATATTTCACCTTCTTAAGTTAAACAATCGTTTTCTTTGTTATTTCTTGCATTAAAATAAATATATAAAATCTTTAGCAAACCAAATATATTCCCATTTATTTTATATTTCATCCTAACTTACGAAGTTAATGAATTCAAGGAATATTTCTTGTTCATGTTTTATCATTATATGCACTTTTTTATGCTATCGTTTATAAACTATTAAATTCGTGTATAAAAGTGTTATAGTCTGTAAATTTTAATATAACTGTAGAACGCGTATGATGCATAGATTTCTTTCAAAAAAGTTTTTATTAAATTACATACAAAAGATTATTAGAAACATAAAATCATATTTCAGTGATTATTTCGGTAATTGATGCTTTATAACTTAATATAATTAAATTTATGATTGTTTCATTGGGAATTGTTGATTAAGGGTAAGTGTACAGACCTTTACATGTTCGTAACACTTAAAATACTTACTACGCTCCAAAGCATGGTCTTCTCTCAAAAGCATGGGGAGGGTAGCGGTTATTCAGCTGTAAAAAATTATGCTCCTCTAGCACTGCTCTGAAGGGAAGAGGGGAATCACTCGCCATAATTTGATTATTTTGTATAAGTTATCTATCCATATATTTGTTGATTAATCTGATTAATGACTTCTTAATCTCTCTACAGAGGATGGTACTCCTGGAGATGTTACACGAGCTGCAAGATATCTGCAAATGTCGCGGTTCCAGTCGTCCGGTACCCAATTATCTAGATGGGGACATCACCCGCGGCAGTACAGACAATGAGTTTGTGCTGCACTCTGCAACCAGTTTCAATACTGTCTCGAGCCAGGATTTCCTGTCGTGACTTCCGGTCCATTTGACTTTCGTCATCAAATTTTCATACAGTAGACTCAGTAGAGCAAACTCTGTCAATCGGTTCAAAATTCAGTCCCACCCAACAGTATTGTTTTTACCAATGAAGAGAAATTTCTTTTAGTCGTCTTGAGATAAAGAAGACAGTGGCATCCTATTTGTATTTTTATACTTTTATTTAGTTGCTTTCATTTGTAACGTGACTGACTAATACAGTGCTTCATTTTGATGTAATTTCTCTGCAACATGATTTTTGAGTTCTCTATTTACACTGTTTTGTACTAGCTTTCAGAAACTTTGCGAGAATACAATACAGAGCTCAGAAACTGTGAAACTTGTTCAGACATTCATTTTATGAAATTATGAGGCATGTAAATGACTTACTAGAACTTCAAAGCAAGATAAATGTACAAAATCTTGAACATATAACTGTATCTAGAAATAAAATTTTTGCGATGGTTTGTAGTTAAGTTTCTTTTTCAAATAGATAATTACACTCTGTAAAAGATGAAGCCTTAACACTAAGAGACGGGAGAACTCGTCAGTAAACAGCTTAAGTAATGAAGTTACCAATGAGAGTTTTCCATTATTATGGATTACTTTAGTATGAAAAACATGTTATAATAACATTAAAACCATTTAAACTGAAATGCATAGCATCAGGTAAATATGATTATGATGGACTCACGAAGTCTTTATTTGCAGAAATCTTGAATGCATTGCTTCAAAATAATTACCATTCGAAAAGCTTGCATATATTTTAAAATAATTTCTGGTTATCCTGAAATGCTGCTTCTTATTAATTACATATTAATCTTATAAATATACACAGATCAGACCTCTCTGTCTCTGGGATGCAGCATGGCTAAGAAAAAAATAACTTGTAGACAATGAAACTGTATTACACAGAAGTCCACCTTGCGTTTTTGAAGGTGTCTCACAAATTAAATGTACATTTAAAACTCATCATTTATATATATATATATATATATATATATGAGTTTGATATATGCTCTGAGGCAGGGGTCGCGAACCAATGACACGTGTGTAGAGACACAATATTTTGAACACGTCACCGATCAAAACGGTTTGCATTTTAATTAAAAATAACAAAGTTCACTATGAAGTATTACGATGAAATTCGAGGCAGCTTGCACTACGGAGTGATCGGGTGAGGCGGCGGGCGGAAAGCGTGCTCATTCCTTAATATCTTGCATTAGTTACGCCGTGAACTACAATTATTAATGACTCATAGTTTATTTACGCATACTGTGTCTTGTCTCGTAACTTTCAAAGTTTATTTAGTTTATTTGTGTTATAGTTATGATTTTTAACTGCTATTTAACTTGGCTAGTTAAGCAAAAAAACAAAAAGTGCAAGATAATAAATGTAACAGAGGATTTCAAACTTGGTGTACCAAGAAATATGGCATGATTAGTAAAGATGACAAAGTGATGTGTGTTTTATGTTTTGGAACAGTGGTATGTAGAACATCTTCTGTAAAACGACATTTTGAAACAAATCACAAATCCGTTTCTCAAAAAAGCGAACCAGAGTAAAAGGAATTAATTACAAGTGCAATAACGGACATAAATAAAACAGTCGACGTTTATGATTAAATATGTTGGCAAAAATTGTCATACGAGCGCGTCAAGTTACTCGGCTGCAATTGCCATTGCTCGGCGTAGTAAACTTTTTCAAGAGGGAGAGTTTTTCAAGGAAGCCTGGTTAGCATGCGCGTCCTCACGTTTTGATGATTTTCATAATAAAGATAAAATAATTCAGCGCATCAAAGATACTCCTTTATCTAGAAACACAATAAAACAAAGCATCTTAAAACTGGCCGGAAATGTAACAGATGAACAAAAACAAAAATAATTTTAACACCACTCCTTTCATATCGCTATGTCTTGACGAAAGTTTTGAGTTATTAGTATTTATTTTTATTATTTTCCCAATAATCACCAAGTCAAACCTACTTGAGGGCACGTCTATGGCCACATTAAACATTTCTTTAGAAAAAAATGCCACGTTGGTTCATAAAGGTTCACCCCTGCTCTAAAGGGAAAATGACGCCGCGAAAAGGAATCATCTCATTGTACCGAAATTTCGTATGCGAATACCCATTGATCCAACCTGAGAATGATTAAATTTAGGCGGCCAATGAATGAGTAACTGAAGTTATAGAGCATCGCACTGAGCGCCTAGATGGCGTATAAAGAGAAGAAATTCCAAATTTTGGGCATAACTTCCACTCGAATTTGATTCGATCTGCTTATTTCAAAGTTAAAGCCACGTGAACTAGTTCGTGCTCAGAATGAGCACAGGTCATCCATTGAGGGAGAACGTTAAATCAGTCCAAAAGGAGCAGGGTGATCAAATTGGACTACGCAACATTTAAAAGCCGGAGTGATGCTACCAATTCGATGATGTTGGTACGAATGGTAGAACCAAGGTAAAGCGGAACATTAAGAAGACAGTGTTCGATTTAGGAAGACAACAGAGCGGTTGTTGCAACATCGTTATTATCAAACATGTAGCTAGGACACCAGTGGCCACAAGGCCATTTAATAGGCGACTCAGGGAACATGGATCTGCTCTCACTGTTGTGCTGACTGCCCCTTCACTATGCCCCTTCACTATGCACATGCAGTGCTACTGAGGTCATTTGATTTAAAATCTCGCTAACTTGGATTGGTATTGTCTTCAGCGATGACCCCCCCCCTTCGAACTGAGCCACCATGACCAGCAAAGACATTTGTGGAGACGTCCAGGACAACTCTGAAGTACTAACCTGACAGTTACCCAGCCCAAAAACAGAAAATTATGATCTGGGGTACCATTTTATTTAATAGTCCCTCCTCTTTGTCAACTATGACTTCCTTACAGAATGAGGGTACCTCGACGATACTCTACGTCCCGTTGCGTTGTCATTTCTTTCGAAGGAACCCGGACTTATATTTCAATAAATAATTGCCTTATTACATTCAGTAGTCAGTTTTGTTGATTGTTTTCGTACTTGTCAAACACTTCCCTAACCACCTAAATGGTCACATCTTTCTTTTAAGGGGGAAAAAGTAAATATGTATTTTATTTTAATGAAAAATTAATAAGAGATAAAGTATTTATTTTTAAATGTTTGATTATGCGTTTAAGCCGTGTATAATTTTAGAAAAATGTTTTAAGGAGAAGTATCGTCTTATATAAGAGCTATTACTATATGTTATAGTGCATATGATATACTTAAGTAATAATTAAGGACACTAAAAAAAAACTGATTGCTATTATCCAGACCATAGCCTCAAGAAGTTGAGTCTACACAACCTCTAATCTATTTTTAATTCAGACAGACAAATCCCTTTAATGAAGTATCTATAAAGAATTTACGTCCCATAACTTTTACTTCAAAATTAATGTAAATTTTATTTCCTTTGCCTATTTTTCAAGGTATGTAATCTTCTCCCTTCCCTCATTACTGTGCTAAATTCAACTAGCAAGAAGCACTGTACACCTCTTTCTATGCGACAATGTTTTTATGAATACCAACCAATTCATCTTAAAAAGCCCTCCAAGAAGGCATCCATCCCCTTAGGCAGATGGCTCTTGTGTGCTTTGCCATAATCAAATAAACTAAAAAGAAATCACTGCAATATGAGCCCATATATTTCTGTGCCCGTAGTCTAGTTCCAGAAGATGCATCAGTTCCGACGTTAAATTTTGACTTCAAAATTTCATTTGTGCCTTCTTAGTAAGCGGAGATAAATTTTTAAAATGTGCATTCTTAAATGTGTTCTTCACTAAACACAAACTACAGATTTTGATTTTATAACATGAATTTTATTATTCTTTTTTGTTTATTAATATTTTTATATGAAAGATTTGAGGTTTGACAAATTCAAGAACTTTTTAGGATTCTATTTAACTAGTAATATATCTGCCTGTTCATTTTAACAAAAGTTAACTTTTCGTTCTGTGAAGAAATCTCGTCAAACAAAGCAAGAAAAATGGTTCTTACTACACGATATCGGCAGATAGATCGCACGTAATAAAAAGATTTCGGGTGAACTCTTGAGAGAAAGATTAATTATTTCTCTCTCTGTAGATAGGTGTTTGAGACACCAGGGTGCCTGAGCCTAGGCTCTACCCCTTGTACAACAGTTTTATCATTTCGAAAGGTAGTATAGAATAACCGAAAGATAAATCGACTAGGTTTTTTTAAAAAAAATAATTTTGTTAAGGTCAGATACGAATACTTGTTAACGTATTGATAACAATGGTCGAAGAACTGGTGACTGTGACAAGAATGAGGTAATGCAAACATAGGCAAATTGAATCCATTAAGAATTATCAAATACAAAACATCAAATACTAAGACAGGAACTTTGAATAATTTTATGCATATACCTATAACATACACAAAAGTGAGAATGCAGACAGAAAATTCGAAGTATAGCAGAAAAGAGGAATGAAAATAAATACATAAATAAAATACATAAATAAACACATATGGGGTCAAATTATTAGAGTTGCATATTACATGATTCATACATTTAGTTGGGCCATAGGCCTATCCATATTTTCCATACTGTTATAGTCGTAATGACAGATTTTAATACTGGGATTATCAATATTTTGCTGCCTTTCATGAAATTTTTTGGCTAAGTTATAATAATGAGTGCGCAATAACTCAATGCCTAACTCTTCATGTATTATATTATTCCTTACATACCATTCAGCATTTACAAGTTGTCGTAGAACAGTATTTTGGCAGACTTGCAATCTTTTCCTATTAGGTTTTTTAGTATATGCCCAAACTGGATGACTTGCATAACACAAAAGCGGACGTAGAATGGACTTGTAAATGAGTAACTTGTTGTCAATAGATAATATACTGTTTCAAGCAATTAAGGGGTATAGTTTGGCTTTACGAACTTGAAACTTCTGGATAATAGATGTAATGTGCGGGGATCATGTACGGGACTTATTGAGGATCCGGTTAATTATTTCTCTTTCTTTTAACATCACTTATGTACAAGAAATTGGTACGTATAGAGGGGTAAGTTTGTAACATCTTACTGCAATTTTTTTCCAATAGCGTTTTCATTTCCAGTTGTGTATTAAATGAGCCTGATAAGAAACACTAAATTCAATACCGAAAAGCAAAACGTTTCAGCTTAAATGAACTGAATTATTATTAATATTTTTCGACTCTTAAAATATGAAGGACAAAACGTTTTCCCGAATATATTGATTGTATTCGCAAATGGAAAATTATTGCCCAGTTTCACATTATGTCATTCTATTAATATGTTGTTGTTGCTTCAAATGGTCCAACATTTGCAGCTTAATGCATTCTTTCGGAATGGCCAAAGCCTTTTAGTCACATAGCCTCTTGTTACTGCGAACGCTGCTCGGGATGCAGCACGAAGGCAACCGAATAACAGCCGTGAGAAAGGCTAAGCTTC